TTCCCAAGGGTTTCGCACCAAAGGCCCCCGAAGAGGTCCCGCCCTCGTAAGATTGTCGATACGCCGGCGTCTTGGCACTCTTGCGAGCCCGCTTTGTGGGGCCACCGTTGTGCCCGCTGTCTTGATTTCTATGGGATTGACCTCCACTACAGACCTGAGCTGGGCTGTGGAGGTTTTCCTGAGCGCCTGGCTGAGTTGCTCGTGTCTGCGCCCGGGAACGGACACAAACTAGCGAGCACGCAAGTAGGTGACGAGCAGGCCCTTTTGTTTTTCTGCTTTGCGTGCGGAGCCTATTCACAGCACGAGATTCGACAACTGGCGGCACCTTGCAAGCCAGGCAGTGTGGGTAGCGGTATGCAGGTGCTGTCCCGTTTGCGGTGTGGCCTGCACCCGCTACGCAATGTCTCCGTGTCGTGCGCGGAACCAGTACAACGGGTTGAGCGCAAGGAGGCAATTATTGTTTGTTGAGGTTGCTCGGCGGAGTGCCCTGAGGGCCTCTGCCGCACCGCTACCACGTTTGGAGGCCATCCTCGCCCGCACTGCGGCACGAGAGGCTGCGAGCGGGTCGCGGTGATCTGTCGAACTGTCGAACGGGTCGGGCAAGAGTGCCCCCCCCCAAACGAAAAGAGTCTATATCCGCGCCGTCGCGGTCTAGCCTCCGGGGCGCGATCCTGCGGATATGGTGTCGCACGACTGGGGGTTGCTGAAGATGCCCCTGGCCCAATGCGCTCCCAGGTGTTCCGCAGTTTTGGAACCCCTAGGGCCATTTGGGCCTCGAGAGGGGGGGTGCTTTGGAGGCCGCGGGGGGCTCTTCGGCAATCCTGGGTGCACCTGGGGCGATGGGCCATGGGACTTCTGCAACTCAACAAGCGGCGTAAGCATACATGTTGTGTCGGAGGTCCCCGCGGATTTCTTGGATCGGCGTTAGGCCTCCTTGTCAGCGCCTCCAGCGCCGCCACTGGCGCGCTCCGTGCCAACGAGGGGGTCTTGCGCCGATCCAAGAAATCTTCGTGAACCTCAGAGAAATGAATGTTTATGCCGTTTTTCGCTCCTCTATTTTCGGGGGCGCTGGCCAGGTCGAGGAGGACGAGATGATGAAATCCGCGAGCGTTTCAAATTGGGATTATGCAGTTGTTTCGATATCCGGTTTGGCCATTTCGATCCGATTCTGTTTTGATTTTCCGACGATCCGATGCGGCCCGATGTTTGCATGGCGTGGTTGCGCATCCTGGCGCAGCCGGTCTGATTCGTTTCCGACTCCGTGCCGATGCGGCACGATTCGATGTACATTCCAGTCCGGTCCGCGTTCCCGATTTGATTCTGACTGGTCTTACCCTTGCCTCGTTTCCGCCGTTTTGGGCCTCCTGGTAGGCCCTCGTCGGCACGGCTAGATGCGCTTCAACATTCTGGTCAGAACGCATCCCGGGATAGATCCGGGGAGTTGCGGTATCGGTACCTCTTGGTTTTCCCGTTCAGGGAGGACGAGACGATGAAAGCAGAGAGCTCTCAAGTTGTGATCGCGCAGTTGATTCCGCCTGGCTCCAAGACGTGTCCAGTGACTTCCAGATTCGGGCCTCGGTTGATGCGGCGGGCCCAGCGAAACCGCGCAGCAGATACATGCATGCATGCACACCTGCGGCTGCTCATGCAAAATATGTGCAGTCACGCGCTGCAGAGGCAGCAAGGCTCGGGTTCAGGGCACAGGGCGGAGTTCGAGGGTCGAGTGTCCCAGGCGGGGCACTCTGCAGCGGCACGGCCGCCAGAGGCCCCCGCCGACATTCCCAGCGCGGAGGCTGGGTCCACACCGACCGTGAAGCTCAGCCTTTCCTCGGCGGCGAGCCCTTGGGCAGGCCTTCTCAGAAGGGTCGGAAGTCCCCCGGCCTTCTGAGAAGTTTCGCAGCCGTCCTGGAAGACATTGGGCATTTCAGAACAGGCGCGAGGGATTCTGCGAAGTCCCGCCGCCTTCTGAGAGGGCCTTCTGAGAAGTTTTCAAAGCCTTCCCAGGAGACACCGGAAACCTCTCAGAAGGCGCGAGGGCTTTGAGAAGGCCCGCCGTTTTCTGAGAGGGCCCTCGCCTTCTCACTTCCCCCCCCCCTCAGGAGCGGAAGAAGGACGTACACGTACATGAATCCACGCTGTTTTCGAGATTTCGCATTGCGCGAATACGCGTATCACGCGGCCTGTCTCGCGGGTCGAGGGGCCGTGTTCATGTACATAGCTGGGCGCGTACGTCCTTTGTGGGCTCCCTACCCTCGCTCGCCGCCGATGCCCTTCGGTGCCCCAACTCAAGAGTCTGCGGACACGCCCGTATCGACCGTGTTGGCCCATGAGAAGGGCCGGATGCGGGCACGCGAGGGGAGTCGCGGTCGCAAGGAGTTTACGGCGTCTCGGCACGCTCGGTCTTGGGAGGCCCGTTTCGGGCCCTGCTGTGGCCGTCCGAGGTCGCCCTCGGGGCGGAGGGCAGGCCAGGACGAACCCGGAGAGGGCTCCAGGGATGGGCCTTGAGCGGAGGTGGGGAGGCGAGAGGGAAGGTGCCTGGGATCGGGGGGCCTGGGGGGGGGGAAGATGTTGCATCGTGCAGCCGGCTGCGGCCCCGCCATCGGGCACGCTTCCTCGATACCATGGCCGCCCCCAAGGGTCTTTTGCTTTGCCCCCCCCCCCAGGTTCTCTCGGCGGTGCACGGGACTGGTCCAGAAACCTTCTCCTCCTCGTCCGTCCGTCCTCCTCCTCCTCCTCCTCCTCCTCCTCCTCCTCCTCCTCCTCCTCCGCAGTCGCAATCGTAGTCGTAGCTGTCGTCGCTGTTGTTGCGCGGCGGGTGCCACGGCAAGCAATACTTAGTTTCCCGCTATTGGTGGGGTCCCAGTCTTTCACTGAGGCCGCCGAACAAAGTATTAGTTGTTCTTTTTTTTGGTGGGTTCTAAAGACCTTTCGCGGTCAATAGGGGTTGACCTGATTGGGGGTGAAGAGGGCCCTCATTGGAATCAGCATGGGCGCAACAGCAGCCCTGGAAGGCCTTGAGGGCCTTCTTCTTCTTCACCCCCCGTGTAGGTCACCCCCCAAGACCACCCGCCCGAATGCAGTTGGCCCGCGTCGCTCGCACGTGACTCCACCCAGTGTCGTCCACCCCGAAGGGGGCGGACTGGCTCAGGCTAAAGGTGGCTCCATGGACCGGAGTCGGCCTTTCGTCGCCGATCGGGGCGTAGGTGCCCCGCTATGCACGGGCACGTGCAATTTCCGAGTGCCGCCACGCGCTTCGTGGTCTGGGCGGTTTCAGAGCGAGGCGCGAGTCCCTCATTCTGTTCCGGGGGGCGCTTCGCGGAGCCCGATCGCGCGAAGATAGTTGCCCTAGGATTTTGCTATCCGGGTTTTAGCGCCGATCTGTTGGCGATAAATCGTCGATCTTACGCCGATGTTACCCCCTCGAGCCAGCTTTCCCCCTTTCGGCTCCCCTCAACCTTGTCCTCCAGCGTCATGAACATCGTGACATTGTGGCTCTGGTTTTGGCGTCTCGTCTCCGTGTGCGTGTTCTTCAGGGGGAGGGCCTTTGGCGCTTTGGAGACCTCGAGAGACCTCGGAGGCCGCCTCCAGCGACCTCCGGAATATCCATATCCCCGACGTTGTGCCTTCGCCGTGCCAGGGTCTTTCTTCAACTGCGGTTTCTCAGAGCGTGAATTACCTCCCCCGCTTTCGCTTCCAGGCAAAACCAAGCCATACCACGCGCCTCCTCGTCAAGCGGCATGACCAGTACAGGCCGCAATTTGGCATTGTTCGGTATCTCTTGGAAGCGAGGGTGGTAAAAAGCGAGGTAGGTTTGTTTTCCCCCGAGTTTCTAAAGATCTGAAGGACCATTCTGGGCCCCGGGGCCGCCATGAAACGACCTGTGATGAGCACTCGATCCCCTCGGCGAGGCCCACTGTCTGGAGGTCCTCGGGAAGGGGTGCCGCGAAGAAAATCGTGACGTCAAACGTTGAGGTACGGCATATTCTCGATATTCGACCTGTTCTCGCCCGTGCCGCTGGTCGCGCTCCTGCGAGAGCTGGCCGTTGGGCAGTACGACGTATGCGTGATGGACGACGTTCTGTTTCGCATCGTGCTGATCTTGTTCGCCCGAAGCTTCGGCGTGCCAACGATCGCCACCACCCACACGGACGTGCCTGGGCTTGGCGACGGTTACCGTCGCGTGTGGGCGCTGCGCATGGTCTGGGGATTCCACGTGCTGTCCACGTTTTTCGCCACGGTGCACACCACCGTGTCCTCGGTTTTTGCGCGGCTCATGTGGGCGCGGTATCCGGAGAACAAACGATGACATAAACATACACCTCAGGCGATGCTTAAGAAAACTTGAGTTTTCGTCCAGAGTCTCGATTCTTCTTAACTTTTCAATGTAAATCCCAAGATTTGTTGATAGAAGTTCTGGGTTTTCTTCAATTTCTGAGACCATGAATTTCTTAACCCATGATTTCTTAAGCATTTCGCAGGGTGTACACATTCTGCGGCCCGCGGGGATTTCTCGTATCGGCGTTTTCTTGGCGCGCGGAGAGCGCCAGGCGCGGGTCCGGAGGCGCCGCCGGGGGGCCCCCGAGCGCCGATCCATGTGGAGTCGACGCGGACCTCCGGGGTTTCTATTCTTAGGTCACTGTTTGTTCCCTTAGGTACTATTCACCTGTCCACGCGATATGGCCCCCAGTCTTGTGGTCGGACGAGTTCCTCCGGCCGCCCGGGGAGTGCAGTGCGGCTGGCGCGGCCGAGCGAGCGCGGTGGCAGGCCTACCTCGGTTTCGAGCCGAAGGCGATCTTGTTGTACGTGGGCCGCTGGTCCGAGGAAAAGAGGATCATGCTGCTGATGGACTGCCAAAGAATGTGGGCCTCCCACGTGGGATCCGAGTAGATGGGGTCGGAGGATCGCCTCCTATCGCCGATGCATCGGCGATGCGGCTCGATGTGGATCCCTTTTTGCTTCACGTCCGCGTCGCCGGTGCATTGCCGACGTCGACGGTGCATCGCCGATGCATCGTTGATGTATCATCGATGCGGCACAGTTCTCCGACCCCATCTACTCGGACCTCATTTGGGAGGCCTCCGAAGAAGAAATACCCGCATACGGTTAAACTTTGAGGTGTCCGCGCAGATTCCTTGGATCAGCGCCGGCCCCTCCCTGGCAGCTCCTGCGGCGCCGCCCCTGGCGCGCTCCGCGCGCCACGGAGGGGGTCCAGCGCAGATCTAAGAAAGCTCTGGTGGACCGCCACGGGGGGGGGCAATACGCGTGGGGGGAGCGAGGATTGCAGGAGGGCGGCCCTGAGGGGGCCCTGAACGGCCCTCAAGCTGCCGCCCTGCGCCCAAAAGGTGCGCGAAGGGCGCACATCTCGCCACCCCACGTTTACTGTCACGCGTCAACGAACATCCGAAGAGTCCCGCGGACCTCCTCGTTGCGTGATACCCGACTGGTTTTGGAGGTCGCCGCGGCGATCGCAGCGACCACACATCGGTGCGAGGGGATTGTCAAGGAGCGGCCTGCCCCTTCCGAGCCCCCCGTCGCTCTGAAAAATAGACGTGGCCCGTATTCAGAAATACCGCGACAGAGAGTTGCCAGCTTATGCCCAACATGGGCAGCCATGTTTTTGTCGGTTAGGGGTCGGTTGTCACGCGAGCATGTTCGACAGTTTCTGTCAGAGGGCGAATCACCTACCCCGCTTTCACTTCCAGGCAAAACCAACTCATACCATGCGCCTCCTCGCCAACCAGCCTGACCTTTACGAGCCATCCCAGGAGTAGTTTGGTATGGCTCGGTTCCCGTTTGGACGCGAGGGTGGTCAAAAGCGAGGCAGGTTCGTCTGCTTCTTAATCTGGTCATGCGGTGGTGACGATGATGACGATGACGATGCTTTCCCAATGCTGCGGCACGAACTGGATGCACCGCGTGACAAAAAGCCTTGCTGGACTCTCGCTCCTCGCCGTGTTCGGCTCCTCGAGGACGCCACCCCCGACGACTGCGCGCTGGTGGTCCTCGGCGACGGGGACACCGCCTACGCGGACCTGGTGGAGGCATCCCGCCGGAGGAGCCTGGGGAACAGGAAGAGTGGAACGGGCATGCTGTCAAGACATGCCGACAGAAGGAAGAGGCGGACGAGGAGGAGGAGAAGGAGGAGGAGGAGGAGGAGGAAGAGGTGGGGCGGGGGAGGAGGAGGAGGAGGAGGAGGAGGAGGAGGAGGAGGAGGAGGAGGAGGAAGAAGAGCAGGAGGTTGGAGGAGGAGGAGGAGGAGGAGGAGGACGAGGGGCTCGGGTGTTCGGCCACGCGCAGAGGGTGGCTTTTCCGCTCTCTTCGACTGGCGTGGAGCGACCGCCGACCGCGCCGCCGCTGCCAGAGACGGCTGCCGCGGCCATCCGCGAGCGGGGCAGCGCGCGTGCCACCAGAGGCCAGCAACATATGTACACGTACGCGGATAGCTTCCCCTGGAGGGCATTTGAACGAGGACGTTCGTGCACTCAAGATCGCGGAGGGCGTACATGTACATATGTCGTTGCTCGCTCACTCAGAGGCCAGCAACATATGTACACGTACGCGGTTAGCTTCCCCTGGAGTGCGTGTCAACGCGGACGTTCGTGCGGGCAAGACCGCGGAGGGCGTACATGTACATATGTCGTTGCTCGCCCACCACCTCGCCCCAGGCGCGCCTGGCAGGGGGAGGACACGCCCGCGTCGGGCCTCGCGTCATGGGGTGGCGATGAACGGGGGAGGCGAAGAAGGTGCACTCCGCCACGCGCAGAGGGGGGTAGGGGGAAGGATGAAGCTTCCCAGAAGGCCGTGGCGAGAAAAGCCCCTTCGTACTTTACGATGGGCTCTTTATGGTAGCACGATGACTGTAAACCGTTGGAGGTCCGCGCTGGAGCCCCCTGGCGGCGCCTCCAGCGGCGCCCCTGGCGCGTCCCGCCCGCCAGGGAGGGGGGCCCAGCTCGGATCCAAGAAATCCGCCCGGACCTCCAACACTTCAGGTCTATTTAATTGCTCATTCCTCCAGGAACGTGCTCCCGCTGAGGCGTGCACTCGGGGCCCAGGAGATGCGGGCCGCGTACGCGGCGTGCGACCTGGTGGTGTCGGCTAGCAGGCTCCAGAGGAGGGCTAGGTTGAGGCAAAAGAGCCGCCGTGGGCCTTCGGGAGTCGTCGCCACGGCCGAGCCCAGCTCGGGAAAATGGTGTGTTTGGACCCCGGGAGTGGTCCAGGGACCATTTTCCTAGGCCTCTCAGATGGGGTCGGAGCAGATGGGGTCGGATGCATCGCCGATGTATCGGCGATGCATCCGATCATCGGCGATGCATCGGCGATGCGGCTCGATGCGACGCCCGATTTCCTCCACGCATGCACCGCCGACGTCGGCGATGCATCGGCGATACATCGCCAAGGCATCGCCTATGCAATTGGCAATGCGGCGCGATCCTCCGACTCCACCTACTCAGCTCCACCTAGGAGGCCTCTAGGTCCAGGGACCAATTTTGAGCGGAGTCGGTCCAGGCGGGAGGGCCGCCGTTGTCTCACCGCCGTTCGGTTGCGCGCGAGAGTGCCCTTTCGCCGGAGTGATCGTCGGTGCGGGTCCATCGGGCTCCCCCGACCGCCGAGTGCGATGCGATAGCAGCGCATGCGATGCATGCCTGGGTCTGGCCCCCTGAAACCGCGCACCAAAGATCGGTTAGTCTTGCGACTGGGACGCAACCGGCGTCATCTCAGTTGGCCTCGAAAAGCAGTCTTAGCCAGCGTGGACCCCAAGCAATGTGACTCCAGATGTGGAATCATTTATTTTGTGGCAGTCGACGTGGTACAATATACGTGGTGCAATCTATGTGGTGCAATCCACTCTGCTGAACTTGAAGTCGTCATCTCCATTGCTCGCGCAAACATCCCACCCACCCACCCGCAACTTGGTTTGCAAAACCTCTTGAGACCGACTACGACGACACCGACGACAACGACTACGACGACTTCGACGACGACAACGACGCCGATGACGACGTAGACGACGACGACGACGTCGCCAACGAAGACGACGACGAGGGAGGAGGGAGGACGACGACGGCGACAACGACGACAACGACGAGGGAGGAGGGAGGACGGCGACGACGCGAACGACGAAAAAGGAGGAAGGACGGCGACGCCGACGACGACAATGACGAGGGAGGAGGGAAGACGACGACGACGACAACGACGACGACGACGACGGCGACGAAATAGGAGGGACGACGACGAGACGCCGACGACGGACGACGACGACGACGAGGGAGGAGGGGGAAGGACGACCATGGCGACAACGACGACCCAAACGACCACGACGCCAAAGGGGACGACGACGACGAACACGAGGAAAGACAGAGGACGACGTAGGCGACGACGACGATGACGACGCGGGAGGAGGGAGGACGGCGACGACGACGACGACGACGCAAGAGCGCGCGCGCACGCTTTTGTTGAACCTCCGTGTTGCGAAACCTTGGGTTTTTGTATGTTTTTTGGACACGATTTTGAAACCCTTCCGAAACCGAAGGGTTTTGAAGGTTGTCGGCATATGCGCGCGACGACGCGCGCGTCTGCACTTCGTCCCATTTGTTGTAGAGGATTCTCGCGACGGCACACGCGCAAGGGCGTTCGACAGATTTCGACATGCGCGCGCGAAGCCCGTTTGATAGCATGTTGTGAAGGTTTAACCTATGGTTTCCTTAAAATTCCGCAAGAGCTCGCGCGGAAGTTGTTTTAGCAAATCAGTGTTGCGAAACCCTGTCTTTTTTGTATGTGTTTTGGAAACTCGATTGCGAACTCCTTCCGGCACGGAAGGTTTTTGATGGATTTTGACATGCGCGCGACGACGCGCGCGTGTGCCCTTCGTCCTGTTTCTTGCAAGGGAACCGCGCAAAAAAATCTATGTTAGAGCAAAAACTGTCCCCGCGTATATATATATATATATATATATGTATATATATACATATATATATATATATACAAATATATATATATATATATATATATATATATATATATATATTATGTGTGAACTTCAGGGGGGGGGGAACCCGGTTGGCCTGGGACATTGCGATTTCAAACTTAGGATGGACATGTGGTCAGAATCATATGTGATTACATAGGGCGCGGGGGGTGTGATAACGCCCAGGGGGGTGGAGTGTATTTTGCTTCTCGAAAGGAAACGCAATTCTGTGATGTGCGATTTCCGTAGTGCAATCTACGTGATCCAATGTACGCGGTGCATCCTATGTGGCGCAATGTATGTGCAGCAATCTACGAGGTACAATCTTCGGGGTGCCATCTGTGCGGCGCAGCGTGGTGCCGTGTATGTGGCACACGTTATGTTCCAGAATATGTGGTGTAATCTTCTCGGGGCAATGTATTTGCCCAAACGAGTTGACAAATCCTGCGCTGTTGCAACCATCCCAGTTACTTACTCGCTCTTTGATTTACAATCCCGATGCGGCGGCGATTGCGATAGGTGCTTGGCGTTGGTTGATGCATCTTCGCGGCCGCGCTAGCCCGCGCATGCTCGCGCGCGCAGAGGCCAGCTAGTGCAGTGCGACCGACGCGGCCGCGGTGACGCTGACCGCTGGGCTTTTCCCAGCGGGAACTTCAGCGAGTCGGTGATTTTGGCGGGCGCGGTATCCTTGCGACGCCAACAGTGGTAAACACGATTGTGAGGGTAGCGGTGGTGACGAGATCTGCACTGACGACGACAAGGCCAATGACGCCGCCGATGTTGATCACACCCGCCGGTAACGATGACGATGTCGTCGCGTCAGCGATGGAGTTTTTTGAAGGAGCTCGACATGCGCGCGCGGCCGACGCGCGTGAGTGGCCCGCGCGTTTCTATGTGTCACGGACCGTGCCCCCCCAGCATTCGCGCAAGGGCGTTCGAATGAGTTCGACATCTGGCGCGAGAGGTCCGTCTGGCAGAATCTGATGCATCTGTTGGAGAACCGCTGTTTTGCTTCAAGGGCCCGCCTGGGCGCGAGCGCAGGATTGTTTGAAACTTGACGTTGACACCTCGTGTTTTTAGATGTGTTCAGGGCATTCGGTTTTGAAATCATTACGACACCGAGGGTGCAAAGAGATTTCGGCACGCGCGCGACGACGCGCGCATGTGTACTTCGTTCCTTTCTTGACAGGGACTCTTGCGACAACACGCGCGCAAAAGGCGTTCGAACGATGCCGACACGTGGGCGCGAAAAGGCAAATTTGGACGCATGGTTACGCATATGCTGAAAACGCATGGGTCCCCCAATAATTCGCAAGAGCGCGGCCGTTTTTTTTTATGGGTTTGGGAACTCTGGTTTCAGAACCATTTATTTGTAATGCGTTTTCGCGGTTGCGGATTATGAAATCTTTCTTACGACATCGAAATAATTTATGGATTTTAGCATTCGCGCGCGCGACGACGCCCGCATGTGCGCTTCGCCGCGCCGTTTGCAAGGGACGCCTGGAACTTGATGATTTCTGATTAACGGGAGTGCGCGCGTAATTTGTTGCGGGGGAGGGCGGGGGGTCTTGATAGCGGCTTGTCTAGGATGATACGAGTTCATATTCAGGATGGGCGATGGGGGCAGAATCGTATGTCAATTGCAATACGAAAGCAGGGGATCTTCAATTCCGGGGGGGGGGGACGGATAAATGATGCGGTCCACAGGCGGCGGCTGCGAGATGTACTATGCAAGCCAAAGCCACGCAAAGCAGAACAATGCAGAGCAACGCGAAGCAGTTTATGTTGTGCAATCTAACGGCGGCATCGAGCGGCGACGCGGCGGCGACAGTTGTTACATAGCCGCCAAGCCGGCACGCAGGCCCACACGATTGGCGGCGACGAGGCGGCGACGGGGCGGCGATGGCGGCCACACAGCCGCCAGACCGGCACGCAGGCCCACTTCCATAGAAACCAGTTCTGAACGCCGAAGTCCAAGCATTATTTGGGAAGAAATTGGATAAACATAAATGTTCGACGGTCCGCGTGGGTTTTTGATTTGCGGTGGTCCCCCCCCCCTCTGTGGCGGAGTGCGCCAAGGGCGGCGCCGGAGGCACCGCCAGGGGATCCAATGCCGATCCAAGAATTCCGCGCGGAGCTGCAAACGTTTGTGCTTATGCAGCTTTGCTTTTGTTCCTCTTTGTCCCTCCGCAGGTTCGAGACGCTCGGCAACGTGGTCGTCGAGGCGTTCGCCGCGGGCACCCCAGTGGCCGTCCAGCCAGCGCAGGGGCACCTGGAGTTCGTGGAGCACGGCCGCAATTCCTACCACGTCGACTTCGACGACCCGGCCGCCGCCCGGCCGCAGCTGGAGGAGATCGTGCGGCGCCTCTTGAGCGGCGAGGACCCCCCAAATCCGGGCTGCCTCGATGGGGTCGGAGGATCGTGCCGCATCGCCGATGCAACCTCGGTGTGGGTCGATGCTGGGCCCGATTTTCTCCACGCCGACGTCGCCGATGCATCGCCAATGTCGCCGGTCCATCACCGATGCCTCCTGGGCGGCGAAGGCTGAAACGCTTTCGGCGGTGATCACCGAACCCTACCCTTGCCTGTCAACGATTCAGGCGACTCGATGAGCGGCGGGGCCCAGGCTCTCAATGCGTCGAGCACGTGGCGAAATTCGAACCGTACCCCGCCTCCCATCGATTCAGGAGAGTCGTTGGCTGGCGGGGCTAGGGTTCGGATGTCGATGATTTGCACAACATTCAATCCGAAGGCACACATTGTTCGGAGCTCCGCACGGATGTCTTGGATCTGCGTCGGAACCTCCCGGCGGCGCCTCCAGCGACGCCCCCGGCGCACTCTGTCGCCACGGAGGGAGGTCTGGCTCGCGGATCCAAGAACTCCGCACGGACCTGCAACATGTCATGGCCATGCACCTGTTCCTTCTTCTATGGATGATCGGAGGTCCGCGCGGATTTTTGTCTGATTGGGGCATCTTCGCCGACTCGGGCGTTCAACGCGAGATTCTATTGTACGTGTGTGAAAGATACGCATACCAGATAAATCCTGAAAGCGCTCGACTTCCCTGCAAGAAACACCTGGTCCGACTTCACTCCGACACTTTTTTTGGAGGAGCCACAGAAACGACGGGTCTCTTGGATGGGCGCTGGACCCTCCGTCCCTGGCGCGCGGAGCACGACAGGGGCGGCACGCTCCGCGCGCCGCCGGGGGGGCGCCGATCCAAGAAGTCCGCGTGGACATGCAAAGGTCTAGGCGTATAACTTACCGTCGTTCGGGCGTGTGTACTTTTATCGGCAAGGGCCATCGAGGAGCATTTTGAGACATCTTGCGAACAAGGACATGCACAAAGCCGCATAAAGCACGGGGAAGAGACGTCCAAGCGATGGCGAGATAGTCAAGACCGCGGAATCAGGAACGGTTCGAGCTCGGATGGGGCTCGCTGTTCGTTCGATCGTTCCATGTGGTTCCTCCGGCGCCCATTGTGCACCCAGGCGCGCTTAGAGGCCACAGAGGGGCTTCGTTCCTGATTTGGCGTTCCCATCAGTAGCATCTTGACTGCATGGAGTTGCTTTCTTCTTCCTGAGGACCGCGCCCTGCGGGCCGCACTGGACGAGCTGGGCGTACGGCTGAGGTCGCAGGACTTCGCCGTGGGCCTGGAGGACGCCATTCTCAGGCCGGCCCTGGCCGCCGCGGCAGCGCGCAGGTCGGTCGGGCGGGCGGCAACGGAAGGGCAACGAACGTGCGACAGGTTCGCGTCGTGTCGACGCGGCGGCGACCCCGCCCCGGGCTTTCAGGGTTGAACGCTGCCAGTGGCCCAGGATCGGCGATCGAAAAACCACCGATCGTTCCAGGTTGAACAGTGCACGCGGTGTCAGGAAACAACGTCGCGGTCGTCACGACGCGAGCCTGCCGTAGGGGGGGCCGAGGAATGCGAGGAAGTGAGCCCGAAGGGCGCAAGACAGGTGCCACAGACCAGACCAGACAGCACAGCCACCAAGTGCCTCACGGCCGCAGGATGGACCTCAAGCCTTTGTCATCCTGTTTCGTCGACACAGCCGCCCCCGCAAGACTGGTGCACTCTCTTTCACCCCCGCATGTGCTGCCCCCTCGTGAACGAACACCCAAGCAGGCGCTGCTGGGTGCTGGAGCCGGTGGTGCGGTGCCTGAGCTTGGTGGCCGCGCTGGCGCTGTGGCTGGTCGTGGGCGCTGCCTCCAGGCTCGAGCCCCGACAAGTCCCGATCCGATGGATCTGCTATTCTCGATCCTGGATCGTTGGTAGATGTTGGCTGGAAATCTGAGCGTCATGCAGATACAATCTCGTCTGGGGCAGGATGCGCTTACATAGGGCGACGAGATCTATGCATATCCACTCCTCCTGGCCAGGCCAATCCTGGGCCCAGGAGCGGTGTATACGCCCTCCTGGCCTGGCCAGGGAGGCATATACACAGCTCCTGGGCCCAGGATGGGCCTGGCCAGGAGCAGTGGATATGTATAGATCTCGTCGCCCTATTACAAGGACCTGGAAAGGCCGACCTCTCAGATCGGATGTTTTGCTGGAGACCCACAGGCTGATCTACGCGTTCTCGCGCGAGCCGCGCTACGAGTACGGCGCGCCGGGGTCGGCCGTGGAGCCCACGGTGCGGCTCGCTCGGATCCAACAAAAAGAAGAGCTGCCCGTGCCTAGAGATAGGGCGACGATATCTATACATATCCACTGCTCCTGGCCAGGCCAATCCTGGGCCCAAGAGCTGTGTATACGCCCTCCTGGCTTGGCCAGGGAGGCATATACACCGCTCCTGGGCCCAGGATGGGCCTGGCCAGGAGCAGTGGATATGTATAGATATCGTCGCCCTCAGAGAGGCGGGGCGTCCGATCTTGTTGGGACCCCAGAAAATCGGTCTGGAGAAGGGGATGAAGCCGAGTCCGCTCAAGATCTGTCCCTGCCCCGCTGCCCGGATTCTCACAAGCGAAGCTTGCAAGCTAACCGGGCGCCTTTCCAAGCGTCCTTGCAATCTTTCACATATAACGTTTTTCCTGGATAGTTTTCTGAGAGCGACGACTGTCTTTCCAAGACGGCTCTCTGAGAGCTCGGAGGATTTTAGATTCGAAGCCAAGGCCAGGGTGGCCACGAACCTCGTTCCAGCTTCGTCCAGACACCTCGCAGCGCCTCCCTTGAACTTGTGGTGTGTCCCAGAAGGCCCTTTCTTATTGTTTCCCAATAGGTGTGCCGTCAAGTTTCCCAGAAGCTCCCTTCCAGAGCTTCAAAAGCTGTTTCGACGGACTTTCCAGAAGGTTCCGTCGCTTCGATATCCCGGTTTTCGACACCACATGAACACCATAAGTATATTAGAAGTTGGTTGCGCAGTGTAGCCCAGGAATCTCTTTTTCGGGGAGGGTCAGAGAGCGCTGCAGAAATCTGCTTGAAGTTTCAGCGTGTTTTGGAAACGTTTTACTACTCGTTCCCAAAACGGTTGCCACAATTCCTTTCCGCCGCTCCTGCGAAGCTCCTATCTCCAGCTTGCAGTCTCGACAGGCACCCTTTCCGGTGTCCTTGCAATCGTATTCCACGGGCCTTCACGCGCTTGAGACTGCTCCGCTATCCGAGCTGCTCCCGATTAGCTCTTGAGAGCTAAGAGAATTGTTAGATTAGAAGCCGGCGGCGCAGGGGAGCCCCGGAGCTCTTTCCGACGCTGTGCAAAACCTTTCAGCAGCTCCTCTCAAGCGCTCGTCCTGGGCTCCTGCGAAGCTCCTCTCTCGAGCTTACAAGCGCCCCAGACATCCTTTGAAGCGACCTTACAAGCGTCTGCCGCGGGCGTTTCACGCGTTTGGGATTGCCCCGGAATCCTGTTTGTTCTCGGATGGTTCTTTGAGAGCTAAAAACGTTTCAGATTAGAAGCCGGCAGCGCAGGTTAGCTTGGGAGTTCTTTCCGGCGTTTGGCAGGGATCTTTGGGGCGAATTGTTTCAAGTTGCAGCGTTTCCCGAAGATTGTATCCTACTCGTTTCCAAAACGTTTCCCATAATATCTGTTCATCTCCTTCGAAACGCCTCGGGGGTTCCTGCGGAGCTCCTTTCTCTACCTTGCAGGCTCCCCAATCATCGTTTCACGTGTACTTGCAAGCACATAGCAGATCCTGCATGTTTTCACGCGCTTTCAAATGCACCGCTTTAACTTTTTGAGCGTTAAGGACAGACTAAAAGCCCGCAGCACAGGGTAGGCCAACTCCCTCTCCGAGGCTCCCGGGCTCCCCCCAGCATCCATATCACTTCGTGCCCCCCGGGCCCCCCCATAAGACCTGAGAGTTGAGTATCCCGGGCCAAGACAGAGTTGGTCGGGGGAAAGGTGCAGCGAAGCCGAACTTCATTACGGCCAGGGGAAGTACGAATCGAAGTTGTTACAATCTTATGTGAGTAGCAACACTATCACGAACGTGTGGCAGGGACTTTGGATTCTCACTACTTCAGTTGTCCTAACGAACGCGTGGCAGGGCTTTGGGGTTGTGACCACTTCAGCTTCCCCAAGACACGATCGTGTGGCATGGCCATGGTAACTATCCACATTACTTCGGCTTTCCAACGTCGCGAACGTGTGCAGGAGGAACACCACGGGACACCCCGGGACACCTCTCGATCTCACTATCGCTCTCACTATCGATCCCACTATCGATCTCGCTATCGATCTCACTATCGATCTCGCTTTCGATCTCGATACTCATCTCACTATCGATTTCACTATCGATCTCGCCATCGATCCCAATCGATCGATCTCACTATCGATCTTACTATCGATATCACGATCGATCTCACTATATATCTCACTATCGATCTCTCACTTTAGATCTCACTGTCGATCTCAACTATCGATCTCACTGTTGGTCTCACCACGGGACACCACGGGACAACGACGGGACACCGGCGGGACACCAGCGGGACACCAGCGGAACACCGGCGGGACACCGCGCGCCACCGGTTGCCGGACGGGGAACCTTTTGGTCCGGCCGCGGCCCAGCCACGACGTGACGACACGGGCGGGACACCAGCGGGACACCTGCGGGACACCGCGCGCCACCGGCTGCCGGGCGGAGAACCTTTTGGTCCAGCCGCGGCCCAGCCACAGGAGAATTTCCTCTCCCCCGCCCACGCAGCTTCGCCTCACCCGCACGCACGGCACGAACACGAAACCGAACTCGATTTTCCAGTAGGGGGGCTCTCCGTTCCATTTCGATTTTCCCCCAAACCTCCGATGTGTAGGGTGGGGCGGTGGGGCTCACCCATCATTGTGAGTCGTGGTTGGTGAAGGTCGGGAAGTTTCACCTTACCTTGAATGCTACAACGTGCCATGCGACGCGTCAGAAAATTGGTGGCTTCGCCAGCCGCATGTCTCTTGGCAGCCGCTTCTGCCAGTTCAGGTGTTGTACAGGCTGGTGAATGTGTGCGCAGTTCAATTTCGCAATGAATAATAAGCGAACGTGCGTAAACTCAACTCGGGATTGTTGGCGAGGCCGCAAGGCTGTGTCCCCGAGGTTCATGCTTCCAACCGGGCAGGAACCGTTAGCACGGATGAGTTCACGCATGCACGAGCTGCGTGTTATGGTCAAAATCTTTAAAAGTAACAAGCACGCATGAGCTCCACATCTCCATTTCAAACGCGACGTAGCAAACATACGTAAATTGAAGTCGGGATGGCCAGCAGAGCCGCCGGTCTGTGTCCAGGAAGTCGAAGCCTCCAATAGCTGAGGGTTCGCTAGCGTGAATGAGATCTCAAATGAACAGCCTACCGTGCTATGGTCGAAACTCACCTTCACGGCACGAAGTCGCAAATGCATATATACATATATATATATATATATATATATATATATGCAATTCGCTTTCGAACACGAGAAGAAGCAAACATATGGGAGATTGCCAGCATTGTTGCTGGGCTGTATCCCAAAGTCCGAAGCCTCCAATGCGGGAGGATTCGCTAGCACGGATGGGTTCATGATGGAACGAGCTACCGCGCCATGGTCAAAATTCCCCGGAACAATAAGAAGTAGCAAAAGCATAGAGGTGGCGATTCGCAATCACAAACAAGGAATCCCAAGGAATAGCAAGCAGACGTACATTGAATTCGGTGCTACTGGGATTACCACTGGGCTGCGCCCCCGAGGCCGAGGCCTCCAGTGGTGGAGGATTCGCTAGCTTGGATGAGCTTACGAATGAACGAGCTACCGTGCTCTGGTCAAAACTCCCCTGAACAAAAAGTAGCAAGCACACATAAGCCACAAGTCGCCTTCACAAACACGACGAAGCAAAAGTGCATGAATTGAATTGTGACTTGCCGGCACTCCCGCCAGGGTGTGTCCCGGAGGCCGAAGTTTGAAATGTTAAGGAATCGCTAGCACGAATGAGTTCACAGGCGAACTACAGACCGTGCTATGGTCGCAATTCTCTTATAAGTTTCACTCGGGATTGCCAACATTGCCGCCAGGCTTTGTCCCGGAGCCCGAACGTTCCAATGCTGGAGGATTCGGTTGACGAATGAACGAGCTATTGTGGCTTAGCTAAACGTACAGAACACACACTAACTGCAATTATTCACCGTCACAGAAGCCAACGTAGCAAACACACATAAACTGAATTCGGGAGTGCCCTCATTGCCGCCACGCTGCGACCCGGAGGCCGACCCCACAAATGGGGCCAGGAGGAATCGCTAACACGGATGAGTTCACGAGTGAATGAGTTACCGTGCCATGGTTAGAATTCAGTTTCAGAGCACGAAGTAGCGAACACACATGCGGTGCGGTTCACTCTCGCAAACAAGACGTAGCACGCGTACGCAAACGGACTTCGGGATTGCCAGCCTTGCCGCCAGGCCGTGTCCCGGAGGCCGAATTTTTTTAATTAAAGTCTTCACAACAAAAGTAGCAACGCATACACGGTCGGACCCAGGTTTGAGATCGAGGTCGGTTCGGGGAGGGCACCCTAATGTTCATGTTCCTCGTGTTTGTTGGATGTTATTGTGCATCCATGGGGAGAGTACCATCGAGTTATCTTATGGATTGGGGTGTTCTGGTCGGCAGAGGGTCTCATGCTCTTGAAGGATGTTTTTGTCTGTCTTCCGCCCGACCGTAAGTTATGACCCACCTGCACCGAATAAATCATACCAAACCTACACAAATTCAATTGGAGATTGATGGTATTGCTGCTGGGCTGTGTCCCAGAGGCCCAAGCTTGCAACGTGGGAGGGATCGCTAGCACGGATGAGTTCACGAATGAACGAGCTACCGTGTTATGGTCGAAGCTCATGTTCACCACCTCCAGTCTCAAACAATACGTTCCAGCTCACATACATGCATGCATACACACCCCTGCCTACATACATACCTGCATACATACGAAAGCTGACCTGGGGATTGCTGGCATTGCCGCCGGGCTGTGGCTGTGTCTTGGAGGCCGGAGTTTGCAATGGTTGAGAATTCGCAAGCACGGAGGAGCTCACGAATGAAAAAACAGTCAAGGGGAATTCGAACATCGGTACGTCAATAATGATTGCACATGCATAATTTGAGTCTGGGACTGCCAGAGTTGCCGCCGTGTTGTGTCCTGGAGGCCGAAGCCTGCAATGTGGAACCGCTTGCACGGAGTAGCTCACGAATGAACAAGCTATTGTGCCACAGTCGGAACCCCGCACAGCAAGTAGCAAAAACACACGAACAAAGCCATGCAACGTACATAACCACCCGAAGCGCAAACGCCTCGCCGCGACAGTAAGACATGGAGGAGGATAAGGAGGAAGCCTTCCTCCACCCCGCCGGGCCGCACGAGGCGAGATGCCCCATCGGACCCTCAGATCGGAGGCGACGGTAGGGGCGAATAGCCCCAGGGGACAGCAATGCATGCAACGCCGTTGGAGCATGTTGATTTTCCCAGGACTGCTGGCGTCGCAATCCGTCAATAAGCCCGAGCAGAAAATAAGCATGCTCACATTACCGTTGGGAGGTATTAGTAGCCTTTTGCGGTTATCCAGTGGCGCCGACGGTCCATGTCTTCGGCGAGGCTTCCCAGCGAATGCGTGTGATGCCCGCCCCTGGATTGCAGTCAAGTTCAGTCTCACAGCAAGGATGCGCTATCCTTGACCCTTCGGCCCATCCTTGGCGACTTCCGCTGGCCAAGCCCCCGTTCGAAAACGGCACTGTGGCGCGCCAAGGCCCTTACCCTTCCCATCCTTACCGCGCATCCTTACCCTGCGCCTGGACCGTCTTCGCCCCCCCTCGTCGCCTCCGGTCGGAGAGGGAGCGCGCCGCCCGCCCCCGGCCGCCAGCGAGGCTCGAGTTGCGGGCCGCCCGTGCGCGCGCTCGCCTCCCGCTCCCGGGCGCGCGCCCGCGCGCGCGGAGCGGGGGCCCGCGGCCGCCGCTGCCACGCGGCTCTGGACGGGCGGGGCCGGATCCTCCTCGCTCTCGTCCTCCTCGCGAGCAGGGGAGGCTGCAGCACCGCCCAACGGCAAGCCTGACCTGTCTGGCTGATGCTCTGGGGGGGGGCTTACAGTCAACCCACATGGTCCGGACGAGGGTCTTTCCAAGGTTCCCCCTGCATCCTTCCCCTTCTGCCCATCCTTGGTCGTTTTCGCTGGCCGCGCCCCGCTCGCAAAGTGTCGACATGGCTGTCCAAGGCCCTGGCATCGTCGCGCGCCCTTTTTGTACGGGTTGACTGTATGCTCAGGGGAGGCTGCAGCACCACTCCACGAGGTGTTGTTTGACCAAACCTGCAGGGTGGGTCCATTCTCTCTGCTCGGTCTCGGCTGGTCCTCTTCAGGCCCCCCTGCTGACGCGCGCCTCCTTCGCGAGCAACAGGAAGCTGCATACACTGGCATCGCTCGGACGAGTGCGCTTCTTTCCCCTGGGGCGAGGACCATCGAAGAGCATCTTGGCCCATCTCCCGAAACAAAGAAGATGCTCACACCTCAGGCGATGCTTAAGAAAACCTAAGTTTTCGTCCAGAGTCTCGATTATTCTTGACTTTTCAATGTAAATCCCAAGATTTTGATAGAAGTTCTGGGTTTTTATTCCAGTTCTGAGACTCTGAATTTCTTAACCCATGGTTTCTTAAGCATTTCGCAGGGTGCACAACCGAAACATGCACGTGGAATGGACGTCCGAGCGGTGGCAAGGAACGCTGCTTTGTCAAGACGCTGAAGCAAGGACCCCCTCGGGCTTCGGAGGGGCTCTGGTTTTCGGGCCGCGCCGCAGATCTGGGTCGGGGGGCCCACGTACGCGAAGCCGAGGCTCGTCGTGGCCAGAAAAACTCCTTCGTTCCTCGTTTCACGACCTTGAAGGCATCACGATGACTGTGAGCATAATTTTTCGGAGCTCCGCGCGGATTTCTTGGATCTGCACTCGCTCCCCCTCGGCGGCGCCTCCGGCGCTGCCTTTAGCGCCCCCCGTGCGCCGGGGACGTCAAGTTCGAAGCTGTTCTTCTTCCTCCCTTCTCATTCTCCTCCTCCTCCTCTCCTCCTCCTCCTCCTCCTCCTCCTCCTCCTCCTCCTCCTCCTCCCCCTCCTGGAGGATCCCGCGCAGATCCAAGAAGCCAGCGCGGACCGCCGAGAGTCTCTGTTTCTGCCGTGGTCTCTCCCCCTGTCCTGGCCACCGCCCCTCGCTCTCTCCCATCAGCCAACTCCGGGTCAAAAGACCGCCCTCTGAAGCTCGAGATTGCCCTTGAAAGGACCAGCCGTCTGGAGAAGTCTGGACCCCCTCCAGCCTGCGAGCCGCAGCCCCGGACCCAAGCCGGAGGGAAGGCCACGCCTTGTCCGATGGCCGCGCCCGGCCGCTTTCGCGGGCGGGCGCGTGCAAGGCGACGAAGCTGCTTTGGTTACCCATCCACTGGGGAGGAGCATCCCGAAGAGTGCGCAGCACAACGATGCAGAGAGAGAGAGAGAGTGAGATAGGGGGCCACATGCGAACCCTACCCCTACCCCCCACGATTTCTGAGGGGTTCTGAGAGGGAGTGAGATAGGGGGCCACATGTGAACCCCACCCTCCTCTTCAGGAATCGTGGGGGGTAGGGGTAATTAGGGGGTTCGCATGTGGCCCCCTTTATGAGAGATACAGATCTGGAGCCGCTTTGGAGCTCCTTGTGGGCCTCCACCAGGGGGTTCGTCTTGGCCTCTTGGCGCTGGTCTGGACCGTTGATGGTGGGGGAAGTCCCATGTATCCACACGCCAGAATCCAAGAGGCCAAGGCCCGAGCTCCGCGCGCCGCGCGCCAGGGAGGGGGTCCAGCGCAGATGCGAGAAGTCCTTGCGGACCTTCCACAGTTCATGCTGTTTCCTTCCCATATCTGAGACTCCCCCTGCACTCTCAGACTGTCGCCCCCCTCGCCGAGCTCCACTGTGCGCGTTGCCAGCGTCTTGCATTCATGCGTCTTTGTAGGCTGCGTTCTGTCTGTATGTCTGTCTCTCTGTCTGTCTTGCTGTCGGCTCGGTCGATTTTCGGTTGTGTGGTCTCTGTGGGCCAGCCAGCTCAAGGAAGGCAATGGCAACATCAACAAGTGAGCGACGAAGAGAAGCGGGTGCAACTGCGCCAACATTCGCGCGCATGCGCCCTCGCTTCCAATGAGGCGTGTCGCGCCGGCTGCCCGCTGAAGCCTCCGCTCGGGGTCGGTATGCCATCTCGCGTAAGACCGTTCGGTTTCGAGCGCATGGTCGCCGCATGACGCTTTCACTCGCGCTTCGAAGTCTCGAATGCCACGCCGCGGCCTCAGATGTCCCCCTCGCTGGCGCCCCTTTCTAGGAACACCAGCGAAGACGGGAGTGCAAAGCCTGTCCGCTCTGCTTTTTCCTGGGGCAGCAAGACATCCAAAAGGGCCCGGGGGCGAGGAGCCTGCGGCCCCGCACGAGCATGGGCTCCGATGGAGGCGACGACGAGAAGGAGAAGTCCCTGCTGGCCAGGATCGTCGGCGTGGTCCGCAGGAAGGCGCGCACCATGGGCCCGGCGGCGCTGCTGGCGTATCCCTGTGCGCTGCCGCGCGCATCCGTCGGGGGCGACGGGAGGCGGGGACAGAATCCCTACACCAGACTCCGGCACATTTTTTCTTGCACGGGCGGGGGATCGTGGGCAACCTCAGGCGGGATGGGCCAAGGTTGCAGGTGTCCAGTCCTCTTCGCCAGTTCCTGGCGGTTTTCCAGCTTCAGCTTCGGGATGCCTTCCCGCGGCGGCGCCCCGCCAAAAGCCTTCCTTTGCCCAGATCGTCCCGAACGGCCACTGGAGAGCCGAGCTATGCCCAGAAAGCCAGGGAAAACGTTGATGGACCGCCAATCGCCCACTCATCGCTGATAGGGGTCCCGCCCAGGACCCAGGACCGCCCAGATCTGCTATCGGGGACTATTCCCGATCTGTCGGCGGTGTGTCGCCGATTCCAGGTCGATGTTCCCTCCCTGGGCAGTCCCCCCCGAACGTTGCTCCTCGAGCCGTCGGAAGGGCAATTTCTGGCAGAAGCAGTCGCCAAATAATACATTGTGAGGACGTCCCGCGCGAGAGCGTCATTTTTGAATACATTATTCTCCCTTTCGCAACAGGATGCGAGCCCCGAAGGGAGCACGTCAATTGAAAAATCACAATGTGCACCGGTGGGTGGATCAGCAATATTTGTTCTTCAAGAGTGAGACTTCAAGACAGTAGCAGCAGCAGCAGCAACAACAACGACAACCCGCACCGCGGAATCCCGCATTAACCGCACACCCAGGGACAGTGAATGACCGTTCGGCCCCCTCCTTTTGACATCATGATATGTTCCAAGTGGTCCACATCTTGACCACGGACGCACATCGGCTCGCCTATGGCAGGTTGGTCGGCGCGTTATTCCAGGTGTGAATCAAGCTCACTCCCCAGGAATGTAAGAGGCCCGAGAGGGTTTCCCCCAAAAGCCTCGAGGGCCCTGTGGTTTCATTCCTTGCTCCCGCCGCCGTTCATATTCGAACTCGGGCCCTTGGCCATAGAGCTACGAAGATCGCTCGAGCTGCGCTCGCTTTCGGCCAAAAGATCCGCGCCGCGCGCACATCCATATCACAGTGGCAGCTTGGAGTGAGGCCGCTCCGCTATCCCAGCCAGCGGCCGTACATATTGCAAAACGGCGTCTGCGACACGTCTGCCCGAATCGAAGCCCAGCGGTTTCCTCGCGCTGTTGCGCAGCGCCACCAGCCGGGTGCACGCCAGCGCCAGCGACGCTAGCAACGCCTACTTCTCCCACGTCAGCGTCAGCGACGCCGGCATCAACGCCGACTTTGCCAAATCTTACGCCAGCGTCAGCGACGCCATCACCTATGCAGGACCTACGCCTCCAACGCCTACTTCCCGTACGTCAGCGTCCGCGACGCCGACATCAACGCCTACTTCTGTCACGACAGCGTCAGCGACGCCGTCATCAACGACTACTTCGCTTACTTTTCCTACGCCAGCGTCAGCGACGCAAGCGTCAACGCCGACTTCTCTTACGCCAGCGTCTGCGACGCCAGCATCAACGCCTATTTCTCCGACAGCGGTGTCAGCGACGCCAGCTACTTCTCCGACAACGGTGTCAGCGACGCCAGCTACTTCTCTCTCGACGCCAGTGTCAGCGACGCGCCTCACTAATCTCGTTATCGACAACATGACAGAACGATGCGCGCAGCGTCATCCCTACTTGGAATGGCGATCCGGCAAAATGGAGAGATTATAAACAGGAGGTCAAGCTCTGGAAGCTACGTGAGAACCTCGCCGTGGCGCACAGTCCCGCATCGAAGTTCGCGCTGAAGCTCAGTGGGGCAGCCCGAGGTGCAGCGCTGAGTATGACGGAGGCGCAGCTGCATCCAGCAGCCGCGGCGGACATTGAAGACCCCGGCGACAGGAAGCGCAGCAGGAACCAGGTCGGCATCGAGAATGTGCCACGGCACCTGAAGACTAGCTCGGGCCAGCAGAAGCCCGCGCAGAAGGGCGAGACCCTTGAGAAGTTGGTCGAGTCGACTCAACGTCACCGACGACGAGGTGAACGCATGACGGACTGGCTCATCCGTTTCGAGACTGGGCTGCAGCAGCTACGCGAGAGGGAGGTGGGCTTCAACGCGCTGGACGACGTGGCGGGATGGTTCCTGCTGCGCAAGGCTGGGCTCACGGCAGAGCGCCGCGAGCGCGTCGTGGGCAACCTGCCCGACGAGCACTACGGCTACCAGCACATTCGCGGGCTGCCGGTCAGGATGTCCCCGAACGTGCGCGCGTCGGAGCGCCGCGCCCCCCCGCCAAGGTCATGGACCAACCAGTCGCGCTCAAAAGGTGGGCGGCGCAGCAGCGCTTTCTCCAGCCGCGGGGGGCGCCCCACCAACGTCGTCGACGAGCCGGGCGACGAGAACGGCGAAGAGCAAGAGGAGGATGACGAGGGTGAAGCCGACGTCCAGGACATCGTTCGCCAGGAGCTCGAGGCTTTCAGCGCCGAGCTCGAGTCCTCCAACGTGGACATATCCGAGCTGTTCGACGGCGACGACTCTGCCAAGGTCGAAGCTGCCGCAGCGGAACTCGCCGCCGTTCCCGAGGCCATGGCCACCATCAGAGCGGCCCGGGAGGCCCTCAAGGGCCGCGGCAAGTCGAAGTCCGCACCGCCCCGCCGCCCGACCAAGCTACAGAGCCGGGTCGATCAGCGCGAGAGGAGCGCTTCTGGCTGGGACTGCGGCGAGACCGGACACTGGACAGGGAGCAACGAGCGCCCCACGCCAGGTGCTCGCAAGTTCGCGCCCAAGGGCGGCGAGTCAAAGGGCGGTGGGCGAGGAGGTCGCGGAGGCCGTCCGCAGCGCCAGGCGCACATCACCGAGCAGGTCCAGTTCGCGGACGAGGAGATCGCCCTGCACCCGCAGGGGCCAGTCGCGCCGCCCCCATAGACTTGCGTCTTGGAGCGGCTTATCCACCACCTGCCGAACGTGAGCGTCGCGATCGGCAGAGGCGAGCCCGCGGGCGAAGGCGTCGGCGCGGTCGACGCCGCCTGCCGCGTTTGCGCCTCGGGCAAGAAGTGGTACGACAACTACAAGGACATCCTCACCAGGATGTGGCTTGCCAACCAGATCCTCGAGGGGCCGGAGGACGAGGTCTACAGGTTCGGCATCGGAGGTGCTCTCCCAAGCAAGCTACGCGTCACCGCGCCGCTTGTGCTGCGCGGCCAGGCTGCCCGCGCCGTGTTCAGCGTCGTGGTCAGCCCCGCGCTGGGTCTGCTCATCGGCCGCGACTTCGCCCAGCCTTTCAAGATCGACATTTCTCTGTGGAAGGGCCAGATCCGCGTCGGGAACGCCGCCCAGAAGCTCACCACGAGCGCCGCGGATCACCCCGCAATCAAGTTGCAGCCAGAGGACTGGCAGGCCATCAAGGACGCCGGCATGGAGCAACCGCCAAGCGCGGCCAGCTCATCCGGAAGGAAGCGACAGCTGGTCAGTACCCTATACGTAGAGGTCGAGAAGACGCTCGACCGACGGGATCGGAAGACGAGGACGGGCGACCAGCCCACGGTCAACAGCACTACCAGGACCAGTGCGCTGATCGACACCATCAACAACCTCGTCACGAAGAAGGAGCTGAACGTTCCACGACGTCTCCAGACCGTCGACCGAAGGGGTCGCGGCTGCTTGACGCGGAGGAGCGGACACTACGGTCCGCCATCATGCAGCTCCACGTGAACACGGGGCACCTGTCCAACGAGTCACTTGCCCGAACCATTCGCGCGACTGGTGGATCGCAAAGGTCCGTCGATATGGCTCTCAACCTCTACTGTAAAGCTTGTGCATCACATCAGCGACCATTACCGCGTCTACCGGGGCGGATCAGACTGGACAGGGACTTCAACGACTCCGTCGGAGTGGACCTGTTCACCCTGGCCGATTACGCTGGCAACCAGCTGGCCTACCTCAATGTGGTCGACCTGGCCTCAGGTTTTACGATGTGCGGCACTTCCGCATCAAGGCGCCCATCGGTTGTTTTCGCTCGACTGTTGCAGATTTGGATCACGCCTTTTGGCGCGTCTCAGTGAGTCATATTTGATTGAGGAGGCGAGTTCGAGCGAGAGTTCTCCATGGAGCTCGTGGACATGGGTTGCCGCCTGATGACGACATCTGCGGTTGCGCCGCAGCAGAATGCCACCGTGGAGCGACGCGGAGGGATGCGGAAGGTGCAGGCGAGAAAGCTGATCGACCAGTTCAGCATGAGGTTCGACCAGCCCGCGGCCGCTCACAAAAAGTCATTGGATGATCGCCTCCGTGCGCTGGGCCATGAACGGCCGGGTCAACGCCGCGGGCTGCTCGCCGTCGCAGCGGGTGCTCGGGCGAGGCCTTCGCCTCCCGTGTGTCTTGGCAGACAACGCCTGCAGGCCGCCCCTGCGCGGGCGCGTCGTGTCCGACAAGCCGTTCTCGGAGAGGACCGCCGTCGTGAAGGCCGCGCAGACCCCCATGCAGCACCGGAGGTTCAACCAGTCCCTCTCAAGGGCGCTGCTGGCCCGATCTCGGGCAGATGGAGCTCGGCACGCCAGCGACGTCTACCAAACGGGCGACCAGGTGTGCTGCTGGAGGGGCAACGGCAAGCCCAAGAGAGAATGCGCCTTGCAGTGGCACGGGCCCGCCATCATCGTCGGGTTCGAGGGCGCGTCGAACGCGCGGGTCAGCCACCGCTCCGCGACCGCGAAACTCAACCGTGGGCATCTACGCCGCGCCACGGTCGCGGAACTTGTTCCGCGGGGACGAATGCTGAACGCGCTGAACAGCAACCGGCCGCCTGGACCTCCACCAGGCGCCCCGCCAGGGACCTCCGGGCCCGCACCTCCTCCAGGTCTTGGAGGAGGCGGCGGTGGCGCAGGCGGCGGAACCCCGCCGCCCGATCCTGATGACGGAGGAGGCCCTGCTGAACCGGCACCGCCAGACGCTGACGACGTTCTGTTCCTTGACCTGACGGGACCGACACCGAAGAAGCGCCCCCGCAGTGACAGTCAGCCTCCCGCACCACCAGCGCTACCAGCACCCGATCAGCAGCCGGCCATCCAGCAGCGCAACTTCGGCAACATCGAGCACTCCGAGGCGAACCAGCGCGCTCATAAGTACGCCAGTGGCTGGCACGCCGCCAAGGAGATTGCGATTTCACAACCAGTGGGGGAGCCAGCGGCAGTGGAGGACCGGCCCCGCCGCCTTCGGGGGGAGACGCACAGCAGCCCCCGCCGCTGCCACCGCCAGCGGAGCCGCCGCCGCCACCGGCGGCCGCCGACCCGCCGGCGCCAGACTCAGACTCAGGCGATGCTGCCGCTCCTGCATCCACCCCCGCCGCTGCTTCCGCAGCAGATTTTCGACCTCCTGAGCCCTCAGGGACCGGTCGACGACGACATCGAGTCCGACGTTTCGGACACGATTCGAGAATGGGCCAAGTTTGCGGAGGGGCAGGCGCGCCAGGAGACGACGTCGCGGCGCCCGCCGGACACCCAGGTCCAGCGCGGCACCAAGACGCAGCGCCAAGTTCAACATTCAACAGGATAACGCACCAGTGGCACTGCAACGCGACCGCCAGCACGAGCTCGACCCCCGCGAGCGCGCTGCCAAGAGCTCGAGGATCTCTGGGGCGATCTGCCCACGTGCTTCAAGAGGCCGAAGGGCACGAACAAGGTCGACCTCTACCTAGACAACTACTTCCAGAAGCACGCGGACGAGCTCTACGCAAGCACACGACTCCGCGAGGCATTGCTCACGGGCAACGCGACCGCCAAGGAGCTCAAATACGACGCGCTGAGCGCCACCGAGAAGAAGAACATGGACGCCGCCATGAAGACCGAGGGGCCAAAGTGGACGGAGTTCGGCGCCTACAAGAAGCCTCCGCCCAAGGAGCTGAAGGAGCTCCTGCGGCGTCATCCTGGCATCCGCCCTGCGGGCGCACGCTGGGTTTTGACCAGCCAGGGCCACAACATCATGCAGGCACGCCTGGCCATGCATCATGCCAGGAGGACAAGTCTCATATCAGGGCGGACGCGCCTGCGTGGTCCAGGGACGCGCTGTACTTGATCCTGGCCGCCGCAGCCCAGAAGGACTGGGACAACTCGTCCCACGACGCGATGACGGCCTACCTGCAGTCGGGCAACATTGAGAGGCTACTGCTCCTGCGCATGCCGGTCAAGATCCCGCCGCCGGGGACTTAGCCCGGCGAGATCGCGACGGCCACAGGCGCGATCTACGGGGCGCGCGACGCCGGGAGGCAGCGGTACCTCCACGCGCAGAAGGTCTTCGCCGAGCACGGCCTCGTGGAAAGCAAGCTCGAGAAGGGCCTCTACTACTTCTGCGACGAAGGTGGGCTCGCCGCGGTGGTCCACTCACACGTGGGCGACTTCCTTATCGCCCAGCGCAACAATTCCACGAAGTGTAAGACCACTATCGCATCGCTGGGGAAGAAGCTGCACCTTAAGCCAGTCGAAGGGGTCATCAAGTACTGCGGACGTACGATTACCAAGCTCGACGACGAGTTCCGCGTGACCCAGGCCACCGCCGCCGCGCAGGTGGACTACGTCGACTTGAAGGCCCAGAAGGGCCGAGGTGCTGAGGACCGGCTCACCGCCGCCGAGGTGACGAGCTACCGCCACACGCTCGGGCAGCTGTTGTGGCTAGCAGCGCAGACCCGGGTGGGCGTCGCTTGCCCGGCGAGCCCCGCAGCTCGACGCACCAGCGTCGCTAGCGTGGCCGACGCGAAGACGTTCAATAATACCGTCGCCTATGTGCACTCCACCGCGAACTTTGCGATCGTGCTCAAGCGCAAGCTCGTCGACCTGAAGACGGCCATCGCCGCGTGCTTAAGCGACGCCGCGTTCGACAACGTGGGCGACGTCAAGAGCCAGTGGGGCATGGTGATTGGGCTCGCCCATCGCCCGCGTGACGTCGTCGGCGGCCGTTGCGACCTGCGCCCGCCCGTCGCTTGGCACTCTGGCACAGTCAAGAGGGCGGTGAAGTCAACCCTCGCCGCCGAGGGCTGCGCAACCCTCGAGGGATCGGAGACCGACATCTAGTTCCGACAGTTGCTGACGGAGGCCTACAACCCCAAGACGGCGCTCATGCAGATTGACGTGCTCGCCGACAAGCGCTCTGGGGATATCTACAGTGACGGCAAGGGTCTCGTGACGCACATCGCTTCAGATGTGGGCCAGTCTACTGACAAGCGGTTTCGCATCGCCGCCTCCATGATCATGGAGGCCGTGCACCCCAATAGTGCGCTCAGGCTCAGCTGGATCTCGACCTGGGCCATGGTCGCGGACGCCCTGACGAAGACGACGGAGGCGGGCGTCCTGCTGTCGTCCCTCGGGGCCCGCAACACACAACACACCTATGGGGCCCGGACTACAGCTTCTACATCTGCCTGCTGACGTTCACCTTGGTCATCGGCATGACTATCGGTTTCGGCATCTTTATGGTGCTCTGGACGATCCTGCGGCAGAACAACGCGATCGCCACTCAGGAGGGCGCCGCCGAGGCGAAGGTCATGGGCGAGCACCCTGGCTGGGGCGGCCGCGTGCTCGGCCGGCGTCGCAACATACCACCAACCATTCCAGAGGGTCGCGATCACGATGGTGACCTCACGATGTCCCACGCGGACGTGTTCAGCAGCGCACAGGCTACGAGTTCAGTAGCATCGGCCGCAATTCAACAGCCGCCGCCGCCACTGGTACCAACAGAACCACCACTTGCCAGCGCACTGCCATCACCGTACACCGCAGCATCAGCGCGGGGATCTGGACGATCAGATCAGCAAGATCGCAGGCATGTTCGGCCCCCGCATCACCAAGCATTGTTACCGTGACGAGTTCATCGAGCTCCGTGTCAGCCACATCAGCCAGCGTTGCATCGCGGAGCGGATCCTCACTGACAGCGCAGCTGGATGACATGCTCAGCTGCGTGAGCGGCATTCCCCACCATGATGTTGTCATCGGCCACAACCCGCACAGTGTCTACATCACTTGCAAGACCTGCAAGAAGCACGCGTCGTGGCTGCTTCGGCATTACCATTTTGGCAACCCCGATTTCACGATTTTCCCGGAGAGTGCGATGAACGATCTCAAGGGCCGTTGGTGGAAGCTCACAGGCAGAGACGTTTGGCGAAGATCCGGCCTGACGGACAAACCGGCGAAGCCAAATAAAGAAAAGTGAGCTCCGCTTGATGGTCGGACGGCAGATTGGCCGACGGGACCGGCAATATTCTGCTGCCCAGATGTCATACCCGGCTACTCAACGTAAGCCCGCATTGCCGCTCAGCGTTCGTATTCGGCTATTCATTCGACAGTCCGCATTGCCGCTCAGATTTCATACCCGGCCAAATGTGTATGTTAGTCCGCAGTGCTGCTCAGATTTTATGACCGGCCAAAGATCCACACGTAATTCCGCGTTTGTTTCTCGAGAAGTTTCATTCTTTCAGTGTGCACATGTTTCTTAGATGCGATGACGATCGCACCCGCTCAGCATTCAGATCGTGTCTCGATTCTCGATAACATGGCTCTCTCTCTCTCTCTCTTTCTCTCTCTCTCTCTCTCTACATATATATATATATATATATAGATTTGGGTTCTGTCACTTCGCGATCGAACACTTGCCACCGCTAGCCTTGTGATCTGCTAAGGGCCAACGGCGCTGAGAGTTGAGTACGCCCTGTTTCCGTGCAGCCTGTTTGCATGCTATAGATTATCCCGATAATCAGTTCCATGTTTGCAATGAAGTTTCCGGCGAGAGGTTTGTTATAGTCCCCGCTCAGGCGGCAGCGCTCCAGCCCGAGACGGCGATTAAGAGGAGTGTGAATAAAGGTCACTCCCTTGGAATGTAAACATTGGAATGTAAGAGGCACGAGAGGGATTCCCCCCCGAAGCCTCGAGGCCCTGTGGTTTCATTCCTTGCTCCCGCCGCTGTTTTTACTTCAACTAGGGCCCTTGGCCATAGAGTTACGCAGATCGTTCGATCCGCGCTCGCTTTCGCCCAAAAGATCCGCGCCGCGCGCGCATCCATATCACAGCTATTGCTTCGATCCTTCCTCGATGATGATCGTGGCGACGACGATGATGACGATGACGATGATGATGACGACGACGATGACGATGACGATGGCGACGATGATGACGATTATGATGCTTGTGATGATGATCGTGATTACGATCATGTTGATGGTGATGATTATCATGATGATGACCGTCATGCTGATTATGATGGTGACGATGATGGTGATGATGATGACGATGACGGTGATGATCATCGGCATTGTTGCCATCATCCTCGTCATCGTCATCATCATCGTCATCATCCTCCCTTCCCCGATTATCCCGCGTCAGTTGTTTCGTTCCATCTGGGAGGAGAAGGCGAGGACGGCCCTGCGGCTGAACAGCTTGCGGACTCCCAAACTTCATTATTGTGCATACTGGTTTTCTTATTGGGGCTGTCATTGCGAAGGGGTGGAGGAGAAGGAGGGACGGGGCGGAGGTGAAGGGAGGGTGGTGCGGAGGAGGAGGCGTGGAGGAGGAGGATGCGAAGGATGGGAGGGTGGAGGAGGGGGGTGCAACAATCCAGAAGGGTGCAGGAGAAGGAAGGAGGCCACCCCGGACAGCGAAACCCAACACTCGAATAACACGAGTTGCCAGAACCGTGCACAGTGGTAGGTCCGCGCAGATTTCATGGGTCGGCGCTGCAACGCGCCACAGGGGCCGAGAGGCGCCGGCGGACATCATGATCGACATCGCCATGTATTCGTTCGCGCTGGTCGGGGCGAGGGCAGCCTTCCTGGCCGCCACGGGGCGGGAACCCTGGCAGGACCCCACGCCGCGCCAGGGCACGCAGCGGGAAGCCTTCTCGGATCCTTGCAGGGACCCCCTCATGAGTCGACTATTTTTTTTTCTCCGTCACGGCCTGGCAGAGGCAATCCGCGCGGGCGCTCGAATTGCGACGGGCACTCGGCAGTTTAATTGCCCATTTGCAAGAGGGGGGAACAGCGGGGCGAAGCGGCTGCGGAGAACATGAGGGGGTGGAGGGCACTCACCGCGGAAAGAATTTCAGGATGAGAGCGCCGGAGCGGCCAGCCAGGGCTGGAGTGATTTTGCAGTCGCATTGATCGACTACACGTTGACCCTTCGCCGGAGTGACCTTCGGGGCGGGCCCACTGAGGTCCCCCGATTGCCGAACGCGATGCGATAGTTGCGCCTTGTTCGCTTGGGTTTGCCCCCACGCGCTCTCCAGAAAGTCGCGCATCAAAGGTCACTCTTGCCTAGGGTCACGTGCGTGTAGCCGAATGAGGCCCCTGGCTTCTACGACCCCCCGCCTGATTAGAAAGCCGCGTCCACTCGCGCCATCACCCTGCGCTCGCAGCAAACATCTCCGAGCGGGAAGAAGGTCGCCGACCCATAGTGTTCCCCAGGACGAGAGGATGCCAAGTCCAGACGGAGTAAGTCCGTACGGAGTGTTCGGTCTCCGTCTGGAGTTAGCCTCCCCTGATGAGATGCCACGTCCACACGGAGTAAGTCTGCACGGTGTGCTCTGCCACCGTCTGGACCTCCTCCGTCTGGTCTAGACTCGCCTGAGTCACTCGTCTTGAGGAATGTCTTTCGGCCCCAGGGCCTGTGAAGGGCTCCGACAAACCGAACGCAGCGACAACTTTCCAGGACCCCTCTTCTCCATGACCCATTTCCTTTGTGTTGAGGGGGTGATCGGCAGGGGAAGCACATATTTGTTTCTCGAACACTTTGGAGTCAGGGCATTTGTTCCAGCAGAGCTCGAGCCGCTTCAGGGCGGCTTTCCCACACCCCTCGTTCGCCTACCGTTGGCTGTTTCCCGTTCTTGGCTGCACGGAAGAGTGAGCCTTCGCTGGAGCGACCTGTGCGGTCTTCGGGGTGCGCGGGGCCAAGTTCACGCACTTTTTACCATCCTCGTCGCTCCGTCGCACCGCATGCCATTGATCGGCATGCCGCGCACCAGTGGCCACCTTTGACCGTCACCACCTCCCTTCGAATGCAATTTCTCGGGGTCAAGTTCAGTATCAGCGCTGCTGGTAAAGTCGCAGTGGGAAACAGCCCTGCCCTGGCCTGCATGCTCAGTCCCTGCGCAGTCCGGCGTGTCGTGCAACAGTTTGGCGGTACCAGACGTGTTTTTGGCCGAAAGTGCCCCTAGGAGTTCCAAGGAGGTCCACACGGTCTCCAGAGCACCCCTCGCGAGCAAAGTTGGGGACTCCTGGGGCCAGGACTTCTTCTAGCAACATCCGAACCAGGAGTTGCTTCCCATCATGGTGGCTCGCTGCGGGCCGTCTGTGTGTGTGTGTGGGAACCTTTGTGGCCAATGGGGAAGTATATAAAACACACACATGTGATGTGGTAGACTTTGATGGATTTGTGCGCGACGTCATCGCTTCTTAAACTCTCTGCCGTCTCAAACTCTCCACCGTGTTGCCGACGCCGGCCTCACCCCGCCTCGTGGCCCCGCGGCCCCCCCGAAGTTGGCCTCCGGAAGCGGAGGTCCTGGAAGCGAAGGCCGCCTTGATGTGTCGAGCCGAGGCTTCTGGGGGGGTCTTCGACGGCGGGGGGCCTCTTGTACTCTCAAGCAGTGGCGAAGCGTCCTGGTTTGCCTGTAGGCCCACCAATCATGTTCCAATTACCTTCTGTGGTCTGCACGCAATTGTCTTAGACCATTTCTGGCTGAGAGCGTCTCGTTTGAACACATCGGGCTTTTGTTCGAAGAACATTGCTGTTGTTCTCAGAACAGTTTGGATTATAAGAGCAGTCCGTGGTAGGCTTCTAGGAATGCCGGGACGGTCGGTCCCTACGCAATAGTCAGTATCGTTCAGCCGATACTTATCCCCATCCCCATCCCGATCCCCACCATCCCACCACCCCAGTTGGGGATGGGCCCCTCGGAACCCAAAGAGAACCGTCTATATCCCCATCTAGGGGGATAGGTAAATCGGCTAGTGTGGCCCAGGCCACGCCAGTGGTGACAGGGATCTGTTAAACGGTGCTCATGTTGGCCCCGAGGTCTCCTGGAGGTCTCTAGGCTCAGGGGCAACATTAGGGGAGTACGCTCAAGTGGCATCGGGGCAGCGTTAGGGGAGGATATGCCAAGGTTCGAGGTTTTTGTGCCTTTTCGCCGCTTGCTGGCGGTTTTCGAGTTTCGGGATGCCTCAGCGGCGGCGCCTCGCCGCGAGCATGCTGGGGGTGCCCAGATCGTGCCGAACTGCCGCCAGAGAGCAGAGGTATGACCCGAAAGCCAGGGGCAACGTTTAGGGGGGATAGGCTCAGGGGGCGACGCATTGACCCCCACTCACCCGTTGGTCGCCGATAGGGGCCCGATAGCCCACCCCGCCCAGGACCGTGCGGAGTCGCTGTTTGGGGCCTATCGCCGATTGATATACACACACATATATATATATATATATATATATATATATATATATATCGGCGATGTATCGCCGATTCCAGGTGATGAGTCCCCTCCGGAGCCGGTCACCCTGGCGTTCCTCCTCGAGGGCTCCTGAGGCTCCGCAGGATCGGACGTCGCCAGAGGTGTCCGAGGCGTCCCTGGCTCTGTTCGGGGCCATTCTGGGGCCCCTTGGCGCCCGTCCGAGCCTCGTGAGGGGTGCCCCTGAGGCCCCCTGGACATCCCCAGGCATCCTCGGGTAACCTTGGGCGGTGTCGGGACCCTGGAGGCCCAAGTCGCGAAACCGTGCAGTCATCACCGAATCCCCAATGATGCACCATACGCTTTGGTGACCACACCGCTTGGGAACCACCGAGATTCGTTCCCCTCGGGACCCGTCTGCTTCATGGTGGACACGTACGCGTTACATGCCGGCACGGAACAGACGGGGGGGATGCCTTGGAACTGCCCCGTCGAGACTACAGGAACACACAACGGCATGAACATACATTGTCGAAGACCCGCGTAGATTTCTTGGATCGGCGCGGAGCGCGCCAGGGAGCCCCCGAGAGGACCTCACGGGCTTCCTGCTAGTGCTCGGCGGCTTCTGGGCGGGCAACAACGCCACGAAGCCAGCGCGCGTGGCCGCCGCCGCGGCGCTGGCGCCGGTGGTGGGCAGGGCCACGGCCTGGGCGGGCGGCTCGGGCGGCGCGCGCGGGGAGCCCGCCGGCGGAGGTCGCTACCGCCGCCCGTCGTGGAGACCGTCCGCAGCGGTGGTGGTAGTCGGCGCCGCCGTCGTCGAGGCCGTTGCGGCGGTGAGGCTTGCCGTCGATCGGCGTTGTCGTCGAGGCCGTAGCGGGTCGCCGCCGCCGTCGAGGCATTTTGGCGGCGGTCGCTATCGTCCTCGTCCTCGTCGTCGTCCTCGTCGTCGTCGTCGTCGTCCTCGGCCTCGGCCTCGTCCTCGGCCTCGTCCTCGTTCTCGACCTCGTCCTCGTCCTCGGCCTCGCCCGCGTCCTCGGCCTCGGCCTCGTCCGCGTCCTCGGCCTCGGCCTTGTCGTCGTCGTCGTCGCCGTCGCCGGGGCCGTGGCAGCGGGTCGTCGCCGCCGTCGAGATTCGGGCGGCGGTCGCCGTCGTGGTTGTTTTCTGGGCCGTGGCGGTGGTGGTAGGGGTGCCGCCTCTGGCGAGGCCTTAGTGGCGGTCGCCGTGCTGGTGGTCACGGTCATCGAGGCGCGTGGCGTCGGCCACGAGCGGCAAACATATCCATATCCGCAGCCTCGCTGTCTGGACTCCGTGGCGCGATCCCGCGGATACGCGGTCGCACGGGTATTCGAAGAACAAAACCGGCATTGATGTTCGAAGGTCCGCGCGGATTTCTCGGATCCGCGCTGGGCCCCATTGGCGGCGCCTCCGGCGCCGCCCCTGGCGCGCTCCGTGCGCCAGGGAGGGGTGTCCAGCGCAGATCCAAAACAACCGCGCGGAGCGCCAAGAGTTCATGTTTCCGCCGCTGTTGCTTCTTCTAGAAACGCTCCGCGAGGGGCACCCGCGAACAAACGCCCCGTGTCCGCGGGGTCGCGGCCTGGGGGCCTGGCCCGCAGGGCCGCGGATACGTAGATGATGTCGTTCGCTCACGACGGGTGGTCACTGTCGTCGAAGCCGCTGCGTTGGTGGTGGGTCGCCGCCGCTGGCGTGGCCGTAGCCGCGATCACCGTGGTGGTCGTCGAGGCCACGGTTCGGCGGCGCGCCCGTGGGGGGGGAGTGAGAAGTAGCAGGCCTTCTCAGAAGGCCTCTTTTGAGAAGTTGTCTGTGCCGTCGGAGAAGGCTTAGGAAACTTTTCGGCAGTCCGGTAGTAGTGATAGTAGTAGTAGTAGTAGTAGTAGTAGTAGTAGTAGTAGTAGTAGTAGTAGTAGTAGTAGTAGTAGTAGTAGTAGTAGTAGTAGTAGTAGTAGTAGTAGTAGTAGTAGTAGTAGTAGTAGTAGTAGTAGTAGTAGTAGTAGTAGTAGTAGTAGGAGGAGTACTAGGAGTAGTAGTAGTAGTAGTAGTAGCAGCAGTAGTAGTGGTAGTAGTGGTAGTAGTAGTAGTAGTAGTAGTAGTAGTAGTAGTAGTAGTAGTAGTAGTTGTAGTAGTGGGTGTGGTGGTGGTGGAGTTGGTGGTGGTGGTCCACCGGTGGTTGTAGGAGTAGTAGCCGTAGTAGTAGTAGTAGTAGTAGTAGTAGTAGTCGTCGTCGTAGTAGTAGTAGTAGTAGTAGTAGTAGTAGTCGTGTAGTAGTAGTAGTGTAGTAGTAGTAGTAGTAGTAGTAGTAGTAGTAGTAGTAGTCAGTAGTAGTAGTAGTAGTAGTAGTAGTAGTAGTAGTAGTAGTAGTAGTAGTGTAGTAGTAGTAGTAGTAGTAGTAGTAGTAGTAGTAGTAGTAGTAGTAGTAGTAGTAGTAGTAGTAGTAGTAGTAGTAGTAGTAGTAGTAGTAGTAGTAGTAGTAGTAGTAGTAGTAGTAGTAGTAGTAGTAGTAGTAGTAGTAGTAGTAGTAGTAGTAGTAGTAGTAGTAGTAGTAGTAGTAGTAGTAGTAGTAGTAGTAGTAGTAGTAGTAAGTAGTAGTAGTGGTAGTTGTAGTAGTACTAGTAGTAGTAGGGGTCGCGAAAGTGGTGGTAGTGGTGGTAGTGGCGAAAGTGGCGAAAGTGGTGGTAGTGGTGGTAGAAGTAGTGGTAGTCGTCGTTGTAGTGGTAGTAGTAGTAGTAGTAGTAGTAGTAGTAGTAGTAGTCGTAGCAGCAGGAGTAGCAGTAGTAGCAGTAGTAGTAGTAGTAGTAGTAGTAGTAGTAGTAGTAGATGTGCTAGTAGTAGCAATAGTGGCCGTAGTAGTAGTAGTAGTAGTAGTAGTAGTAGTCGTAGTAGTAGTAGTAGTAGTAGTAGTAGTAGGAGTAGGAGTAGTATTCGTTCCTTGGTGGTTCCTCGGTTCCCCGATCTTGGTTCCTTGGTTTTCTGGTGTTGGTTTCTTGGTTCCTTGGTCTTCCGTGGTTCTTTCCTCAGGTTATTTAGTTTTGTTTCCTTTGTTCCTTGGTCTTTGTTCCTTCGTTCCTATGTCGCGGTTCCTTGGTAATTCTGTCTTTGTTGTTTGGTAGTTGTTCCTTGGTTCTTTGGGAGTGGTTCTTTCGTTCCTTGGTCTTGATTCCTTGGTGTTCCTTGGTGATGCTTGATCGTGATTCCTTGGTTGCGCGGTTCCTTGGTCTTTGTTCCATGCCGCTCCGCCACGCAATTCCAAGTACTACAAGTCAACGCCGTGGAATGGAATTTCAAGCAACGCGAAGCATAGGCCAACCTTCCTATTGCATGGGGCGAGTGCGCAACATTGCTTGTCGTTTTGTTTGGCATTGCTTGTGATACAATGCACTGTTTGGTGGTAGTGATTGGGATTGCTTGGCATTGCATGTGCATTGCATTGCGTCGCTTTGCATTGCTTGGCATTCATGGCGAGGCTTCAAGGAAACATTACCAGGGACTAAGGAACCAAGACCCGGAACCAAGGAACCCAAATGTGGGCATTGATTGGCATTGCACGGTATGATGTGGCGAGGAGGCATGAAAAATCAAGGCACAGGAACCAAGCAGTCAAGACAGAGAAACCACATAACCAAGGAGAGGGCGGGCGGCACCCGTGTGAGCGGAAAACCGACTCGGGTGAGCTGGCCCAAGGCGCTTCGCAGTGCACCAACAGCTGAGGCCAGAGCCAAAACTGAAGCGCACAGAAAATGGAAAGGCCCCCACCCCTGCAGGTTCGGAAAGCGCCACATCGTTGAGCGGCGGTGCGACCTCCCCTGAGCACAGGATCCCCCAGAGCAACAGCCAGACAAGTTGGGTTTTTACCCTCGCGCCTTGCGTCCAATGAACCAATGGCAATGATCCAAGACCTAGATATTTCGGAAGAAACAAACCAAATTCAAGGAAACAAGGAACTACTACCAAATAGCCACGACCCCAACAAGAAAGAACCCAACAACCAAGATCAAACAACCGCTTGCAAGGCCTTGCAAGAAGGCAAGACCAATCAACCCCGAGGAAACCCTTTGTAGGGAAGCAGGAACGATGAACCTCGAGGATTCCCGGCGAGACCAGGTCTGGTACCCACCAGCTTTTTCACAATCAAGTAAGAAACCCTCAGGCGAAGCCGACTTGGGAAAAGAGTGGGGTGGAGGCGGCGAAGGGGAAAGGCGCCGTCCTCGTTGGCGTCGTCGTTGCTGTTGTCGCCGTCCTGCCTGTCGTCGTCTTGGTCATCGTCGTCGTAGTCGTCGCCGCCGTCGTCGTTGTCCGTGTCAGCGTCTGCGTCGGCTGCGTTGGCGTCGTCGGCGGCGTCGTCGCCGCCGCCATCGTCGTCGGCTCCGTCGCGCGGCTGAGGTGGAGAGCGTGCTGCCGGGCGCAATACACCAGGCGTTTCTGCCCGGCCTGCAGGGTGTGCCTCTGTCCACGGTGGCCAGCGGGGGGCCCAGGAACGGACCCACCGCGAGAATGGTGTTCTCCTCCACCTCCCAGGGCCTATTTCGATCCGCTCGATTTGTTTTTTAACACCCGCTCTGGCCGGCCCGATTCGATTCGATTCCGGCTTCAGGGCGATCCGATGCGGCTTGATGCTGGCATGGCATTGTTGTATACCCTGGCGCCGCCGACTCGATTCGATTCCGACTTCGTGCCGATGAGGCCCGATTCGATGCACGTTCCGATCCGATCTGATGTCCCGATTCGATTTGGATTGTCCCTGCCTCCTTACCGGACCCCCTCGCGACGTGAAACAAACACGGCGGAAGGTGTTTCCGCTCTGTTTGGTTCTTGGCAGTTTTTATCTGGACTTCGGGGAAACGACTCGGGATGAAGAGTTTGTCCCCGGAAAGCAGTCAAGACTTCTGGGAGCCCGCGTTCTGAGAACATGAGGACGGTGGTGCCTGGGTTCACCTCCTCCTTCCATCCCCCCGTCCTTCCCCTCCTTGTCCTCCGTGTCTCTTCCTTTCAAGTAACTACTGCCCTCGCACCTCCAGACGTGTCCGTAGGCCCATGGAGGGGGAGTCACCGCCGTTCCAAAAAAAAACATGAATCTGGGTGTACCTCCGAAAGCCTGTGCTCGTGGCGTGTTCTCATAGTTATTCGATCCCTGCCCCTTCGGTGGATGACCCCTTCCCTGCCCTCCCCTTCTGCGTGGTTCGGGAGAGAGAAGAGTATCAGTGACACGCCGCCGCTGGGAGCCCGTTGGTTTGTTCCTCCTTGAGTTTGTCTGGAGGCACGGCTAGGCTAGTTCTTCACAGTGACGCGCTGACGGATCCCCCACGGTCGTGTGCCACTGTCTGTTTCCCCATTGATTCGGAGAGGCCACGTCGTTTGGTCGGCCGGGAGCCAAGGAGTTCGGCGATATAGTTTGGTGCACAGGCGCCCTGGCGTCCCACAGGTGGGGCAGCTGGGGCGTCTATACACCGAGCTCCTGGCCGACCGAACGACGTGGTGTACACATCGAGCCCCCCCCTTCCCCGTGTGCCGGGTCGCGCGAAAGGGTAGGATAGGGAAGGGGGGTGACGAATCTTGCTGCATGCGATGCGGCTGGTTTCGGCCCCGCCGCTGGGCCCATTCCTTGATAATCCTTGACGCGTCGCGTATCCCCACGGCCTTCCTTGCAGCTGCAGCCCGCACCACCTCGCGCTGTCTGGTCAACTTAGGTGCTGCTTAGGGCGCCGGTTCGTCGTCGCGTTAGGCAATTAGGTTCGCGCGTAGCCCGCCCGACCTTTGACGCTGCTGGCGCGCTCGCCTGCGGCTGCGACGGAAAAAGTATTCCCACGGCCACAGGCCAGCGTAGACTCCGTCAGAAGGCCACGGCAAGGGACGCGACCGACCGACACGGAACCCCGTACGACCAGGACCAACGAAGCGGGACACGCACGCACACCCCCGCAAGCATCGGACGGGCCAGTCACAGCTCCAGCTGGAACGCACGTAGCGACGCACACACGCGTGGGTCCATTTGGTCAAATCCTGCACGAAACAGCCAGGCCAGCGGGAGGTGGCACCGAGGCGAATGGTGCGACAAAGCCGCCAACCCTTTCATGCCAGCTGAATGCCGCGCCCACGACGGCAGTCAAATGCACAATCCTCCCACACACACACACCTGGTGGAAGCACAGAGCAAGGATGAAGGCAGCCGCCGTTCCATCCAGAGAACGAATGCTAGCCGAGTTCGGCGCCGCTTTCAATTAGGTCTGGCACCGGTGGACAGAGCGGTGCGAAGCGCGCCATGGCTTTGCTCCTAAGGACCCAATGGTGCAGAGCTGGCAGGCCTGCGACGAATTCCTGGACACGCGGCGCCGCTGCAACTACGACGCCTACCCGCTCAATCGCCACCTGGGGCTCAAAGCTAATTTCGGGCACGCACGAAAAAAACGCATGACGAACGACCGAGCAACACTGCGGGATCAGGAAAGGGCCACGAACGCGACGCTTCGGACGCACGAAGCGGCACACAGGGCAAGCGCAGCTACGAGTGGGACGGGCCCCTTTTTATCAGAAACGAGACATCGATACCGCACGCTCGACTGCACGACCCAGCACCACCCACCACGCGACCCTTCGGGCCGTACTGAGTTCTGGATGCTTCTCTGCTTGACCACTTCGCCTCGCTTCCTGTTTTTTCCCTCCTCCTGTCCTGCCTGGGGTATTATGCCATTTCCTGTCCTTCCTCCCCCCCTCTCCTCTCGTCGCCTGGGGTGCGCGTGCACGCGGATCCACGAGCCCTGCTCTTGCTGCCTCGATCACTGCATCGCCTGGGGTACGCTTCTGCTGGGGTAGTCATCGCATCTTTTCTCTGTGCCTTTGCAGCAACCAGCTGTCACTGATCATCTTTCTTGTTCCCTGCGCTTGTGGCAATCAGCCGCTTGGTCTGGCTGCGGGCGGCTGGCGCGCTGCTGCTGCGCCCGCGGTGGTGGCGCCCCCCTGCCCTTCGTCTTCGCGATGGCCGCAAGGATTCATAGCGACGGCGTTCGGCATGGACGCGCCGCTGACCCTGCCAGGGGCCCTCCCCATCCGCTTAAGGCGTCGACGGCACCGTCACCCTGGCGATGCTCGTTGCGGGCCGCTGGCCGCTGGCTTCCTGCCGCACGCCGCGCCCCGCGCTGGTAACCTGCTGCGGTGGCGCTTCGCACCCTCTTGCACGGTTTCGCCGTGCTGGTCACTCAGCTGCCTCCGGGTCGCGGCGCGCGGGGAACCCTGATGGCTGGTCGCGTTGCTCTTGGCTTCTGCGTTCGTGCTGCCCTGCCTGGGGAAACCTTAGCCTCTCCCCGTGAAGGTCCACCCCGCCCCTGCAGCGGGGCGCCCCCGCATTCTTCAGGGCAGGTCCTGGAGCGGCCGCAGCCCGCCCGTCTCCCGTTCCTCCTCGCGGTGTCTTTCATTTACGCGGAGGTGGTTACAGGCTCACGCAGTACCTGGAGGCTGGTTTCCTCTTGGCATCGTGGTGCACATCTGGGTCAAGGGCCGCGTGTTATGCAGGATTACCTGGGGATCCACGATGGGCCCCTGTCTACCTCCGTCACCACTTCCCTGGGTAAGTGCGGCGCCTGGGCCTGCGTCCATCGTCGCTGCAGGGTCCCTCTTCTGCTTCGGCTTCCTGCTCTGCATTTTTCTACGTATTCCTGGTGCCGTTCAGTGATGTGTTTGCGCCATTCTGGCCGCGCTGAGATCCGCCCCGTGTCCGGCGTTGCTCGTTGCTTTGTTTTTTTCCTTCAGCCGGTGGCACAGCCCGCCCCTGTTTGCCAGGCGTTCGGCCCGCTTCGCGCGCCCTCGCGCCAAAAAGTACCCCCGCGGCCCCGACGGCCCCGGCGCCCACCTCCCGATTTTTCCCACCCTCGCTCACCTGGGGAGACACGCTCTGTCGGCCTGACCCCAGTCCTGGTGGAAACTTCGGCTACGCAAAACCAGAAAGACCAGCCCCGGGTCCCTGCTGGCCGCCACGGCAAGGAGCTCCGACGCCACTCGGCCTGCTGGCGCACTGGCCGCGTGGCTTGAGAGCAACAGACCACAGACGACCGAATTTGCGGTTGAAGCGCTGGGACCTGGAGGCCGCGCGGAGACGCGCCAGCGCCCTTGCCCTGCAGGAGCGCGGCCTTGCTGCTGATCGGCAACAGTTCGCTGCGCGCTATCGCGCAGGGCGGGGCGTCATCCAGAAAATGCACAATGCCACGGGCGCACGCGACATCGCAGGGGTTTGGCCCGACGAACAGTAACACACTGGCATTGATCATGCGTTACGGGCCAGCATGGCCATCATGCGGCAAAGCGCGCCACCGCTACCAGATTTTGCCGATGCACTCCTGGATTTCTATGCCAGCACAGATGGGCCCATCGGCGCCGACGAGCAACCGCGGCCCCACGGGCAGGACATCCTCACTCGCATCGGCACCCGCCCGCAGCGCTCCCAGAATTGGCGGGAATATGAAGTATACAACAGCGGTGATCGTTTCGTCGCACGCCTCCCCGCCCAAGTTTGGTGCGCTGTTTATCGTGATCCAGCGAAGATCGCGCGCGTCCTTGGGCCTTCGATCGGCCCCCTGGATTGGGTCGGCAAGAAGGCTGGCGCGGAAACGCCCGACGACTTGCGACCTTTGAAGCTACCTGCATGCACGCGGGGACTGCACGGCGCAATTCTAGCCGACCTCTTGAGCACCGAATTTGAGCCTCTTCTGAGCAACGACCAGGCAGCCAAAAAGGCGGGCAATGCTGCCCCGACATCTGCGCGGCCACCATTCACCTGGGGGGCGCCCTTGCGGATCCCAGGAAGCCAGGTCTAGCTTGGAACGCCCTGCTAGGACGACGCTTCGGTTGCACGGAAAGATGCATCCGCAGCGCCTGCGAGCCCGTGTCTGGTGACCCCATCAGATCAGTTGTCTTCCGCGACCCAAACAAGGCTTTCGAGCGCATTCCTACGCAGTAGATCAGTCGCCCCCTCAGGCGACGGCGACTTGCGACGCGGCTCCGGCACGCCCTTCGCGCCCTATTTACGGGCCGGTGGGCGCGAGCCACCGAGGGCGTGTACGCAGGGGCACGGCGTCGTTTGCTTCGCTCCGTTGGGATGGGGGGGGGGGGGGGGGGGCGGCCCCCCCCCCTCCTCTGGCGCATCAGCTGCGACCCCGTCGTCGCTGCTATCTCGAGCATCAGCAACGACCGATGCCCTACGTACGTCGAAGACTTGGACTCTTCGGTGCAGTCGGCGGCGCAGGCCGCGCGGGCCACCACGGCGCCCCCGTGGGCTGCGCGCGCCGCTGGGCTCTTCGTAGACGCCCTCGGGTGCCTGGGCGCGCGCGTCACAGGCAGGGGGCCTAGACTAACCGCCCTCCGAGCTGAGCCCCCCGTAGACAACGCGACGGATGGCGACGCGCGCCGGATTGCCTGTCTCCCTCGCGCACTGCCGCGTAACCTGTTGCGCGATTGCTTACGGGGCGAGGAGGTCGCATGCGCGGAGCGGTCCTGTCCCTGTTCGCGCAACACAAAACTGCCGCGGCACTTCCAGGAGACCCTCTCGGTGGCGCACGCTCCCGGGACACGGCCCGTTTGGCAGCAGCTGCGTGCAAGCGAGTTGGCCTCGTCTGGGCGCCTCCATCGCGCGGCGCGCCGTCGATGGCCCTCCGCCAGCCGGCCGCGCATTCACCCAGCCTCGTCTTCCTGCCTTTCCGCGAGGTGCCCGGGGCAAGCCGCCGCCGAAACTCCGCGGCCGGGCCATTGCCTTACATCTGGCCAACCGCTCCCGCACGCGAGCTGCTGCTGCGTGAAGTGCCTACCTTGCCTTGCTCATTCCTTGCCCTGCTCATTTCTTCGCCCCAGATCTCTACGTGGAGTGCGCCCTCCGTCACTGGGCGACGTCTGGGGCCCGTGGCCCGCCGTTCTAAGAGCGCGGCTAGAATTGAACTAGATATGCCAATGGGCCTCCGCGCGCATCATCTACCAGAGCCCCCCCAGGCCTGGGGCTGCTGTCATCGCCTGCGACAGCGCTGCCTTGAAGCACAGACATCTCGTCGATCGCCCGGCAGACCTATCTGGCGAAATCGCCGCTAGAGTAATCCGCGTTGGCGCCTGTCGCCAGTAGCGCGAGCGCTCGGCGAGAGCTTGGTTCACCCGAGCCGTTGCCGATAGGCGATGGGCGGCGGGGATAGGAGTTGAATGGGACCTGTTGAAATATGCCCCTGCGTGCGCAGCTGCCACCCAGTGGCTTCGTTTTCTCGCCACTGGGGCGCCCGGCTCGGCACGACGCAGAGGGGCTACCGATCGACTGCCACATCGGTGCAATATCTGCATGGGACATGCCAGACACGTCTGGCGCACTGCAGGTGCACGGGGCGCGGGCCTTGCCTTGTGCCACGCGTGCCCGGGTGGCTGGGCGAGCTCCCGGGGGGGCCATAAATGGGGGGGTCAGACACGGTTTCCTTGTCGGGCCCCTCCGGAGCCCCAGGGGGCTCAATTAGGTACCATTTGGGTACCTTTTCGAACCGCTCTCGCCCCCCCCCCCCCCCCCATTTATGACCCCCCCATTGCGCGGCGCCCAACCTTCCGCTCTTGGCAGCTCGACCCGACGCGCAACTCTCCGACGGGCTGCGCACAGCGGCCCTTGAGATCAGACCAGGTAGATCCGCGAGCCCGGCACTGCCACCGGATCAAGGTCAGCGCCGAGCATCTCTTGACCCGGTGCTCGGCGGTTGCATTGTCCTGGGCCAGGGCGCGCCCCAGCGGTGCACCTCTCGACCGGGGGGCCGCCGTCGTGAGACGCGGCGCCCACCGCGACGCGGCGGCGAGATTGGTCAACCAGATCTCGCGCAGGCATTGCGTCAGCGGCTGCCTCGCACCGCTGCCCCCCAACGAGGGCGCGCGACTGATCATCCAGGGCCTTGGTGCGCCCGTCATCGCGATCAACGACGAGGACGAAGCATGCGTGCCACTGCTCGCCCGGGAGGGCCGCGACGCCGAAACAGCCGCGTGCAGCGCAATCCTGAACTGCCGCCGAGAACGCAACCCCGCCCCGCGAGGCCGCCCGCCGCTGCGAGCAGCAGCGGCCCCCCGCCGCGCTGGGGCCAGCGACGGAGCCAGCGGCGACGCGCGCAGGCTCCCCGCGGTCGCCGCCAACGCCCGCGACGGGGGGCAGCTCGCCACCCTGCAGTCGCACCATCCACGGGCAGCGTGGCCTTTGCCGTGGCGAGGCTGGCCCCCATGCCCGCGCGCCATAGACGACCCTTCTGCCGAAAGGCATCGCTGGCACTGCCGGACTTGCGACGTGCGCGCTGCGGCTTTCCGCGCCGCCCGCGAACTAGCAAGTGGCGAAGAACTGACCGTCGGACGGCCCCTCTTTCCCAGCGCCGACGCCGCGCGATGGCGGCGCCAGATTTCTCACTGATGATCCAGGGGCCGCGGGTGCTTGTGCCGCGCTGCGGCGGCGCGACCCTGACTCTGGGGCCCCCGCCCTGGTCGGGTTGCGCGCCGTCGCCTTGCCCCGAGCCGACCATGTCCACAGCGCCGAGGTGGCGGGCTGCCGGGCCGGCCTAGCTTTTTATGCCGAGTCTCGCGACTGCCGACAGCCGCGCCCGTGCAATCGGGGACAACCTTTGCGCGGTCAGGCACGGCGCGGGCGGCGCTCGGCATCGGCGACTGCCGCCGCGCCAGCAGATGGAACAGGCCCTCCGTCATGCCGACGACTCAGGATGGTCAGTCACGTGGCGGGCAGCGCGGAGGCAGTTCAACAGGGCTGCGGATCGGCTGGCCGCTCTCGGCGTCTTTTGGGCCGACCGCCTGCGCTGGGCGGGCACGCGCAGCGCGGCGTCGCAATTCGCGCGGGCCGGCCAGCGTAGCACCATGCCTACAGGTTCCCCATGGCAGGGGATCGACTTATCCGACCCCGACGCCGTGGAGGACTTGAGTCTGGCAGTGGAAATGGTTCTTGACCTTCGCCTTCCCCTCCCTCCTCTTTTCCTCTCGCCGTCCTCCCTCGCTCCCCAGCCCTGGCCCTCCTTGGAATTCCGCGGTATTTGCAGCGGTCAGCTGCCGCCCAGGGCTTTGCGCGGCCGCCTGGGGCGCCCGTGCGAACGCCCACGTCGCCGCCCGTCTCCGCTCCATTGGCCCTTGCGACCCATCTGGCCCTCGGCGGATGGACGGGGTGGCCTACTTCGAATTTTCCACGGGCATCCTGACCGCCATTGGGACTGGTTGTACGAGATTTGCCGGGTCACGGCTGAGGACAGGGCCCACTTCCACAGCAAGGATCACAAGAGTCGCTGCGGCCAGCAAAGGGCGGACGGTTGGCCAGATCCAAGCCTGTTCGACATGCGAGGGAATTTGTGGAAGATGGCAGGAGGCACGAACGTGGACAAACATACGGAACGTACCGCACTTCGTTTCAAGCGGGGCGGTTGGGGGCCGGAGTGGCGCTTCAACGGGGCCAACTGGCAAGCGGCTGGCGACGCGGGGCCATGGACCATGCCATGCGCGGGCGCACCCATGGAATGGCCAGTAAACTGGGGCCAGGTGCCCAAGAGCTATCCAGATACTTACGCCGCGCCGACCTGGAAATGCCCACCTGGCACCGCTGCCAACAAGGTCGACGCGCGGCTCCTTGAAAGCACATGGGCGCCCGCGCCCAAACAGCACTGAGGCCGCGCAGCAACGCAGCGCCGAGGCCGCAGCCTCGGTCGCTCCACCGGCCCCTCGTTGCCCTCCGCCCCGCCACCGCGACTTCCCCGCCCCATCCCATCCTTCAACCGCCCCCGCCGCCATCGACGCCACCTTGGCTGGAAGCTTTGACGCGCCCAGCGGCAGCTCTGCAGTCGCGACGACGCCTGCGGTCGCTCGGGGCCCACGCGGACTCCAGGTGCCGCGCCCTGCCGCGCTGTGACATGGGGATGAGGCGCAGCTGCGCCATCGCGCACTGTTCAGTCCGCAAGCTCCGACGGCTCTGCGCTACGCGCGAACAACCCCGCCCCCGTCGACATTCTGGGGGCGAGTCGCTACCGGGCGATCGCGGGCTCTTCGGAACGCAGGCCGACGCGACAGCGCGTCGCATCCAGCAGATGCACGCCCGCCTATACAATTACTCACGTGCCGCGCCCACGCACAACTGCCCCATCGGACGCACCCGCGGCGGAATTTCCTTGCCAGACTCCTGGGTCACCGACGTGCAGAATCGAGCCAATGCGCCCAGCAACGTAAGTTGGTTGGAGATGCGCCAAGCCACGAAGCGAGTTGGTCCGGAACGCCCCTGCGCCCTCGACATTCGACTGGCGCCCGCTGGACCCAAGCATCATCTCGCCACCAAGTGCAACTTGTCTTCGTACTTGGAGGCAGAGGCCAACAGAAAGAGACGCGCGCTCTCCTGGCCCGCAGAATTCACGCTGAACTGGGACGGGCCTGAGCTCACCAGCTGGCACGTCATCCCCCCCGTCTATTGGGTCCAAACAATGACGAGCTCGGATACTTCTGCGCGTTGTTGCCGCGCGAGCCTGGGGCCCCCATTCCTGAAGAACAGCGGACTGAGTTCGGAGGACACGCGCGCCAACCAGCTCCCGGTGAAGTTCGACGCGTCGCACGGCCAACTGCGCGACAACGACGACATAGCACCGCGACCCGCTAATCAAGGGGAGACGCACTACAGAATTGGCATCTCGCCAGACTCCTCCGAGCACCTACCGCTTTAACCAGGCACTGGCGAATATTTATCGCGCCGGCGTCAACAAGGATGACCTCTGGGGGCTCACGCTGCCCGCGCGCCGCCGATCTCCTGGCGTTCGGCATTGCCGACCGAGCCAACAAAACAAGACTCCGACGACGCGCGCCGAAACTGCCTCCTGGGGCTCTACCTACGGCATCGCGCCGTCGCCACCATAGGCGGCGAGCTCTTCGACCCCGACGCCTTTTGTGAGGTGGCGCGGACAACGCTCTCTATCGCAGTAACCACAGCAGACGAGATCGACCGGAACGCAGGAACCGCATGCCAGCGCGCCCACCCAGTCCCTAGCGCGGACTGCCTTCCCGCCACCATCTTTGCTCACCAGGTCACCGCGGGACACGCAAAGGTTTCCGAGGCCAGCAGTCAGTTCTTGGCGAGGACCCCCCGGGCACGGGAGAAACCCGAATGTCAGCAGGACTCGCGGCAGTCTTGGTGCACGGGGCACCGAAGGGATGCTGCGTGGCTGTCTGCGCCGGCTCCGACGCAGCAGCAGACCAGACCGCAGTGGCCCTGGAGCACGCCCGCAGGGATGGTCGTCTCCGCGACTTCACCGATTATCCTGCGCGCGCCGCGCGTCCCGCAAGGGGCGACAAGACTACCGCCCCAGAGGCCGCTCTCCTGACGCCGGCGAGCCATTGCTCCAGGGCTCACGGCGAGCATCCTTTTTTCGCGCACTTCGCGTAACCGCCAATGGAGGAGCTACCTGGAGAAGTTGCTACATGACTCTTGTCTCATCTTGTCCACGCACGAGGCCACTTCTCAGCTCAACAAGCCATCTTCCCCCAAACTCACCTTGAGGATTCTAGGCGAGGCAGGCCAGACAGTTGAGATCCACGCAGCGACGTCACTACGCAACGTTGTCACAAGCGGCGGGCACGGGGTAACCATCGGCGATCCGCACCAATTAACCACCACGGTTAAATCCAAGTGGACCGCTGCTCTGGGAATCGGGATTCTCATTTTCGAGCATCTAGATGCCCCTGGGTTGGGGGGGGGGCTGCGACTCCGCGGTGTACCTGACGCAATGCTACCGGATGCGCCCTGACGTGCTGTCCTTTCCCTCGCTCACGCACTGCGGCGGATGGGTCATCTCAGCACTGGCGTCCCCTTTGACGGATCGGGCATCGCTGCTGGCCTACCATGGCTGCCACATGTCCCAATCGATTTCAAACGGGCGGAGAGGCTCACGGCGCCCCTGGGGCAAGACGCCGACGCCCTGCTTCAGTACATCGACGGGCTAGGCGCAAAATCATGAACCTTGGGGGCGTTCATCGGGCCATCATGTTCGACAACCCATCACAAGACCTATCTCCTACCACTCAGAGCGGCTACGCCAACATGCGCGAGGCAGCGCTCTGCGTGGACGCGGTTCGCGCGCTTGCTCCCGCCGCGAGGACGTCGGGCATGCCCGCCAAGGTTTTCAGCGGCTATACGGCGCAGAGGAGCGCGCTCCATGATGGGTGGCCACAGACGAAAGCCGCGATCGCAGCCAGCGCGTGCACCTTCGCTGCCAAGTCCAGGACAGCACCGCGGTTTCGTGGCGACTATCTCCCCGGAACAGGTCCACGCAGGATTCCGATCAAGGATGGGGCTGCGTTGGGGGCGGGGGACAACATTGGATCCCACCTGTGCACGAGACATGCACAGACACTCACGCGGTCGGGGTCGACGGCGCAATGGCGATGGCCAGGGAAAGCGAGGCAAGGGGGTTCGCCTACTACGCAGATTCCCCGCTTGATCAGGACATATCCTGGGAAGTGCTTGCCAAGCAGTTGAACGGCACACTGCGCGCCCTGTTGAACGCGCCTGCTCTCGGCCTGGCCCTGTACTTGGCGAGCGGCCCCCGCCCGCGCAAGTGCGGGGCCGCCAGCCAACCTTCTGACCCAAGCAGGTGCGATCGTAAAATGCGGCGTCGCAGAGGCTTCATTACGACGTGACCTGTGGGGTCGACGCGGGCCACCTGGTCGACAGCGCGCTATGGGCGGCTAAGACGCGGGCCTGCGGACTAGGCCCAAGTGGGGCGACAGCGACTCCGCCGCCCCAGCGGGCCAGCTTACCAGCCGCCCGCGACTTGGCCCAGGATGGCGCAACAGGCCACACCTGGGGAAATGCACGCCACCATCCATGCCAAAACAGTTCCCATGCGCCTGGAAGCGCTAAACAGTACACTGTAGCAGGCATCGGCTACACCTCGGGATGAGCGGACTGGAAGCCGCCCTTCGAGCGCACGCCGGCCCCAGACCACAACTGGTTCTGTAGGCCAAGGGCGGTGCCAACCCGGTTTCCCTAAGGCAAGCGCGCCCCACGCTCATGTGATAACTCCCCGGGGAGACCCGGGGTTTGACCACGGGCGATTTCTTATGCCTGCGTGGCCGTTTCGAGGGCGCCTTGCAGCACATTGCCTGTCTGGCGCGAGTAAGTCATCAATCGTCACCCATTCGCCAACGGCGCCGGCTGCCCGCGGGCCTGGGCCGGGACTCTGAGCAGCAGCTTCCACCTGCTCTCCGCGCTCATGGTCCTGGAAGCGCCGGTTGTCCCAGCTAGGCTCCCAGGGTTCGCTTCTGCTCATTGCGCGGTCTGCTCAATTCGCGCCAACGTTGCGGGCGACGACTCGCGCCAGGGGAACGCGGGGGGGCCGCGACCTGCGGTGCGTCGGCGGACGCACCGCCATTAGCAACACCAGCCCCCTTGTCCCCTTGCCCTCGGGGCAGCACCTGGCGCCCAGCTCGGCCCCCCGAACATTTGCGCCCGAAGACGCGCGGCTCCCCGAAGAGCAAAAGGACGCGCGCGCATTCTGCGACCAATGCAAGAAAGAGCCATGCGCAATCAGCGACGGCGCATGGGAGGGCGTCAAGACCCGTTCCTACCTGGCGCAGCACTGGGAGCTCGCCGACAGCAGCGGCCTCATGCGTCGTTGGCCTTGCCTTTGGCGCTGGGTGCGTCAACTGGAGAACAAAGGCGCCGAGGCCCCCGCTGGGCGCAACGCGAACGACAGGCTTGCCGCTCATCAGACGGAACACGCCGATCAAGGGGCTTGGTCAGCAACGTACTCCCGCAGCCCCACGCATGCAGAGTGGACAGGCCCAGGTGCCCTACCCAACCAGGGAGCACCTGCTGGCCCAGCTGCCCCTGGAGGCTTCAGGCACGGACCCCGGCACAAATCAGCGGTGCCATTCCGAAGTGCCGTCTCATCGACGATCGGTTGGGTGCCAGCGCCACGACCGCCAGGCTGTACTCCGCCATCTGCGACAGTTGCGTCGGCGAGCCTGTGAAGTTGGCGCGGGGGCCTGGCCGCCCAGCTCCTGGCTCCTTCGTCTGGAGGCCGCGCTCTGGCCAGGGGTGCGATGGTTGGTGCGGCCCTCTTGGATGGGGCCTCTGGGTGGGGTGCCGGTCATCTGGGCTGTGGAATGCGCCCTGGCACTGCCGCAACTGCCTGGTTCACGTCGGGGGCATCTCGCCTCGCGCCCTGAATGGCGCCCTGGACAGAGATTCAATCTGCGCGCGCCCCCCCGCCCCGAAGAAGAGGCCGACTGGGCCCAAACCCAAGGCAGATGACGGTCTGCGGGGGGCGCTCGGCCAGGCACGCGCGGCGGCAGAGCAGGATGAGGGCGGACGTCGACTTGGGGGCGCGGCTTGCCCAGCGCCAACGCGCCCGAAGGCAGCGAGATCATTGCGCCGCGCGCATCATCGACATCCCGCCCTGTTTCGCCCCTCCTCCTTGTCCGGATCTGGAGCGCAGACGGGTCGAGGCCCTCGTCCAAGCGGCAAGCGACTACTGCGCAGATGCGACGACGATGTCCCCCTTGCACCTGGCCGCGCACATCCGTCGCCTCGATCCAACCGCCGACGAAACCTGGGTCGGCCTCGTGCATCGGAAGGGTCCCAAAACAGAAGACCAGAGCGAGGGCGCCCGGGGACGCGACCTCGCCCACCCCTACCTCCGCGCGCTCTTTGATGACGCCATCGCCGACGGCGGGGCCCCACCCAGCACCGCCTGGAGCGGCAAGCGCGGGGCCGCAGCCTGCCGGGTGCGTCGTCTCGCCACGGGACAGTCGCTGAAACGCTCCTATGGGGGATGCGCCAACAGGGGCGCGCCTCGCAGGGGCGCCGACCCTGCGCGCCATCGCATCGACACGCTCGCCGACTGGCTCGCAGGCTTCAACCCGTCGGTGCTCTCCGACGACGTGGCGACGCAGGTTGAGTCGGTCGCCGCGGGGGCGGGCCCTGCGCCGACGGCGAGCGGCTCAGACGGACCTCCACAGGATGATCCGCCCCCGCGTGTCCAGGCCAAGCAGGGTGGCAGAGCGGCGGCGGGCGCAGCGCCTGGGGGTCGAGCGGAGCACCCGCAACCGCAACAGACGCCAGAAGACGGAAATGCGACGTCTCAGGCGTTGAGGCCCGAGGCTAGGCTGGTAGCAGCAATGGGCGAAGACACGGGGCTGGCGAACGGATCACCTCGGTCGACTGTGGCTTGGGACCAGACGCTGAGGTACCGCGAATATGGGCCCTGATCCTGCCAGCAGACAGTGGCCCCCCCGCGCCCGTAGACTTCGCCGAGGAGGGGCCAGGCAGGAAGGCCCCGCGTCGCACGGTCACAACGAGCGCTTCTGACGAAGCAAGCAGCAGCCGCGATTTCGTTAACAATCGGCAGCCGCTGGATGCCCCCAGGTTCCTGGAGACCGCAACGGGCAGTGGGGTCGCGGCGCAGGCCGGCCTGGGCCCCGCCAGCGAGCTGCGGCAAGGGGCGCGACCGTCCGCCACAGCGCTTTTTCGAGCAGACCCAAGAAAGCGGGCCACGCACGCATAGTCCCGGCGTCGTCGGACGGGCTGACCACGGCCACAGCTGGAACGCGCGCGACGACACAGGTGCGCGGGTCCACCTGGTCAAACCACTCGCAGAGCAGTCACGCCAGCGGGGCGTGGCATCACGGTGAATGGCGCGACAGAGCCGCCAACCCATTCGCGACG